AGGAAGGGCCTTGGAGAGTGGCCCTTTCAGGGGCTGGACAGAGCAGTAGGAGATGGGCCCGTGGCTTCTGGCTGGACCAGAAAGCAAAGAGAAGAGTCCCCAGCCTCCACGTCAGAATGACCCCTGAGGGGCTCCCCTGCTGGGTCATCCCCACCAAAAGTGTTTCCAGACATTGCCAGAGTCCCGCTAGGGACACCACTGCCTGCTCCCGGGAATCGCCATCGGCCTGCACCAGAAGGAGTGTGGGTGAAATCACACCAAGAGGAAAGGGGGGTGCCAGAAATGGGGTGCAAGGCAAACTCAGGCTCCTCCCTGCTTTTGCCGACGTTAGAGAATCTTCACAACAAAACTACCGTAAGTCAGTGATGTTAAGGACAAAGCCGTGGGACCCTGATTCCTTGGATGGAAGTCACAGCCCAGCCACCTCGGCTGGCTTCGGAGTGGGAGGTGGGAGCAGGAAGCTCCAGGGCTTTCATCCCCCACCCCCATAAGTCCTCCCGAGTGGGCGCTGGCCGTAGGGGACTGGCATGGAGGTTGGGATAAGTACGGGTCCCAGCTGGGGTGACAGTTGGCTCTAGCTGGCTCTTGCCACTTACTGGCTGGCAACTCTGTGCCCCCTCCCGGCCTCACCCTCCATCATCTGCTACCGATTGTCACCACATCCGGTTCCCTGCAAGACATCAGGGGGTCAGATGCCAGGACAGAGCAGAGCAGAGGCTTGGGAGGTCCTCGTCCTCGTCCTCGTCTTTTGCAGAAACACTGATCAGAAAGGGCTCAGACGTTCCATGAGCCACACCACAGTTTTGCACCAATCCTGAGCAAAGGGCTCAACTCTTGCCCGCTAGTTTCTGGGTGTTTAGTAGTTGTTACTTTGAGTACCAGGGACTGAACTCCAAGGTGCTTAACAACAGAGCCACACCCCCAGCCCGTTGTATTTTTCATTTTGAGACAGGGTCTCCCTAAATTGCTGAGGCTGGCCTCCAACTTGTCATCCTCCCACCTCAGCCTCTAGAGTCTCTGGGGTTACAGGCATGCGCTCTCACGCCTGACTCTTCTCGTTGTTTTTAAAGTGAGTTGCCAACATTTGAAAATCGTGAGCTGATGTGTTAAAATTGCTTCTTTTGGAAACTCAGAGCTGGCTGCCTTGGCCACATTCCCTCACGGCACCAAATGCCTGGAACTGCCGGCCCCAGTCTCCACCCAGCCCGGTTGCCCTGAGAGCTGGTGGACGTGAGTGGTGGAGAGAGCCGGATTCTCCCGTTGCCGTTCCCTTCACAGGAAGGCTCCTTTGGCCGGGGCACAGCTCTCAGGGGTGGCTGCGACTCTGAACTTGTCATCTTCTTTGGCTGCTTCAAAAGCTATGAGGACCAGAGGGGCCGTCGTGCGGAGATCCTCCAGGAGATGCAGGGGCTGCTGGACGCCTGGTGTCAAGACCGCATCCCGGGCCTGCGCCTCCAGTTTCCTGAGCAGAACACGCCCGGGGTCTTGTGGTTCCAGATGGTATCAGAGGATCTTAAAAACTGGATGGATGTCAAACTGGTGCCTGCCTTTGACGCCCTGGGTGAGGGGTCCCTGGCTCACTCCAGCGTTGGGGGAGGATTCCTGGGGGCGAGACAGGTCATCCAGTTCTGGCCCTGACACTAACTTGCTGAGCCACCTGGGCAAGGCTATCCCTGTCTCTGAGCCTTGGCTCCTTGAATAAGCACGGCGGATTTGGACCAGAGAGGGCCGAGAAGGGTCTGTGGTCCTGGGTGGAGGGGCTGGTCCCCCACCCAGGCACCTCAGGTTCCTTCAGCTGCTCCCCCAGTGCCTCCCACCCGAATTCTCCCTACTCCCTCCCAGTGCCCAGCAGAGCTGGGCCTGCGTCTTTAGTGCCCATCCTAACTCAGTGCTTTATGTCCCCAGGGACGCTGAGTCCTGGAATCAAACCCAAACCTGAGGTCTACGCAACCCTCCTCAACAGCGGCTGCCAGGACGGTGAGCACGCGGCCTGCTTTGCTGAGCTGCGGAGGAACTTCGTGAACACTCGCCCGGTCAAACTCAAGAACCTGATCCTGCTTGTGAAGCACTGGTTCCGCCAGGTGAAGCTCTGCCAAGGTTCTGGCTCCAGACGTTTGACTTCTCCGTGCTTTCATAATACTGGAAATATTTTCTTATTTTTAGTAACCTTTTATGGCCTCTTTCTGGAAAATGCCTGCTCATGTCCTTTGTCCGTTATCTTCTTTCGTAGCCGTCTTCTTCTTGTTGATTTGTTGAAGCTCTTTATATATTATGAATGCTAACTCTTATTTACTTGATATAGTGCAAATGTATTCTCTTCGTCTGTGGCTTGTATTTTGCTTTGCTTAAAGGTCATTTGTCAGCAAAAGTTTTCAAATTTTAAAATGTAATCAGGTGTAGTCATCTTAAGTTATTTGTTCTTTCCATGTCTGAAGTCTTTCCTTTCCTGACTTCCCAACATGATTCTCCCTCGTTACCCTCCAAAAGGCTTGTTTGCCACATTCAGGGCTTTGTCTAGTCTGGAATATTCTACATACAGCATGAGGTAATGTGGAGTTTGTAAGCTTCCTAGCCCAGCCTCAGGAATACCCATCTGCCCTATTCATGCTTTATTGACAAACTCTGGTGCATTGAAGGAGGTGTGCCCAGCCTGTGCCTGGAGATGAGGGACAAGCTTCCCCAAAATCTTGAGTCACATAGCTTGGTCCCCCCTGGAAACGTGGACCCCCAGATACATGGCCCAGAAACAGGAGTCATGTGTCTGCACGGGGATGAGGGCTGGGTGGACGGCCGCCCCGCCCCACTCGGGCGTGGTGCCCTGCTCCGTGGGTGCCAATGGCCTCCTCCTCTCCAGTCGGCCATCTGGCCAGCACCCGGGATCTGTGGGGGAGGTAGACAGTCCCGGGTCCTGCTGGCTCCGCCCTGGTGACCCCTTGTCCCCGGGGAGACAGGCCAGCTGCTGTGGAAGCTGGGGTGGGACTTGGCCCGCTCCCTCCCTCGGCTCAGCCTGCGGGGACCCCAGCCCCGAGGCACAGCCACCAGGGGCCTATGGAACCGCCCTCCCTCCCTTCCTCCTGCCGAGCCCCTCCCTCCACCCTGCTCACAGGTGTTCCACGAGGAGGCGCAGAGCAGGCGGCTGCCCCCGGTCTACGCCCTGGAGCTGCTGACCATCTTCGCCTGGGAGCAGGGCTGTGAGAAGGACGCCTTCAGCCTGGCCCAGGGGTTCCGGTCCGTCCTGGGCCTGATCCAGCAGTACCAGGGCCTGCGTGTTTTCTGGACCGTCAACTACAGCCTCGAGGACCCTACAGTCGGGGATTTCTTGCGCAGGCAGCTGGAGAGACCCAGGTACGTCCTCACACCCGCCACGTGCTCTCCTGTCCCTGGGCCTCGCAGAGCTGACGGACAGTGCTGGAGCAGGGGTGCTGCCCAGCTGCACCTTAGGACCCCCCCCCCAAATGATCCTTTTTCACTTGTGAAAAAATCTCACAATGCCTGGGCCACGTTGTGTGTGTGAAGGTTTCGCTGACAGATAGCATGCTCATTTAGAGGACCGTCTACAAAGGGCTTTGAAACCACCACCCAGAGTCACAGAATACTCCCAGCACCCCCGTGAGTCCTTCCTGGTCAGCGACACACAAGATAAACCCCATTCTGATTTTCATCAGTCCAGTTTTGCCTGGTTTTAAATCTGATTTGAATAGAGTCCTGCACTATGTCCATTTGTGCCTGGTTTCTATTTTCTCAACATTAAGTCATTGAGTTCCATTCATTTAATTGAGTTCATTCTTTTTCATTGCTGCTTAGTATTCCATAGTAGGAACTTAGGACAATATGATTTCCAGTCTACTGAAGATAGCTAATTGGATTGCTCCCAGTTGGCAGCTATGCTGATATACACATGTGTCTTGCATGTGTCTTGATGTGTATGCATCAAATGGATGTAGACCTAGGAATGGAATTGCTAAAGCACAGGGTGTAATTCAGAGTTCCGAGCAATTGTCCTTGTATCTTGGGTTCCTAATATGCAGCCAGGGTTCAGAACCCTGGCTCCAAATTCATCTCTACAACAGTCCATCAAAGTGAGCCTTGTTATCTTCATTTTCAAATGAGAAAACTGAGGCTCAGAGAAGGAAAGTCATCTGCCCCAGGTCACACAGCTGGAAAATAACTAACCTGGGATTGTAACCAGCTCTGCCTGACTCCAGAGCCCTGGTGACTTTCTTGCTAACTGAACCTTGACTCTCTGGAACTGCAGGCCTGTGATACTGGACCCTGCTGACCCCACATGGGACCTGGGCAGTGGCACAGCCTGGCACTGGGATGTGCTGGCCCAGGAGGCCCGGACGTGCTGTCACCATCCGTGCTTTCTGGAGGCATCTGGGAGCCCCGTGCAGCCCTGGGAGGGGCTGGTGAGTTTCCCAGGGCCCTTGGGTCTTGCACCCTATTTATGCGTTCTGGTATATTTCTGAGCATCCGCGGAGCGCCAGGGCCACATGTCACAGAACAGAGTTGGAAGGTGGGAGCAGCAGGCATGGTGGCCTCTAGTCACCGGCTGAGGCCGGGGAGGAAGGAGGCCCCAGCACAGGCCTCTCCCAGGCCTTTCCACCCACCATGGGGAGGCCTTCTGCAGTGTCCCCCCGGGAGGGCGCCTTTTTCTAATCCGTCCACAGGCACCGAGCCCCTCACTTCCCCTCGCGGAGCCTCAGTCACCCAGCTGAGCAAAGGGGTGGCTGATGGCGGCAGGGGGTGGCATGGAGACCCTGTGCGGTGACGCGCTCCTCCAACCACCTTCCAGGGCCTCCCACGTGCTGGGTGCTCCGATTTGGGCCACTGTGTCCTGCGAGACTCTGACCAGGGGACCCCTGCGGACAGCAGGAGCCTGGACGACACTGTGTGTCACTGGGCAGGGGACAGCCGACCCGTGAGTCCAGCCCTGGAGCCCGCCACAGCCGCCAGCAGCGCCTCGTCGGCCCTGGGCGCAGCCTCGGCCTCTGCCCTGGCCCAGGTCCCCGCCAGGGAGCTGGACCGCTTCATCCAGGACCATCTGCAGCCCAACCCACGGCTCCAGGAGCAGGCGAAGAGGGCCATCGAGGTCCTCCAGCGCTGCCTCCACAAGAACTGCGCCTACAGGCCCTCGAGGGTCATCAAGGTGAGCGGGGCAGGTGGGGACCCCATGGGGCCCTCCAGGGACGCAGGAGAGGGGAGAGGTCGCGCCATGTGGCCAAGGTCGGGCAGGGGGGACCCACGCCCTGGAGCGTGGCCGGAGGCCAGCCAGAAGGCCCAAGGAGACCTTCACCCAGCCCTGCCCCAGCCCTGCCTGCTGTGCCCAGGACCCGCCAACCCCATCGGGCAACATCCGTTAACCCAAAGCCACTTTATGATAATGCACCCAAATTCCCGAGGTTGAACACGGAACTCAAAGTGACAAACAAAAGGTGTGTGGGGTGCACTCTCCACTACCTCAACCCAGCCATCGCAAGCCGGGGTCTCGCTGTACAGTCCAGTGCCGGGATTTGTTTTGAATATTAAATAAATAATAATAAAAATAAAACCACTCACACAGCAGTCATCACCTCCCTCCTGAGCTCGGGGCCGCTGGTTTCTGGGGCTGTGTGGCCTCCAGGGCTGTAGGACCATGTGGCCCTGGACTGCTCCCCGCCCATCCTCTGGTTGCTACCCGGCCCGGCGCTCTGTGGGGGGCCTCTCTCCCTCCTTGAAGCCCTGGGTGGAGCAGGCTACCTCCCAGGGCCATCTTGGCTGGACGCCCAGCCCCACCCGCCTATTGGCCTCCAGGAACACTTAGCATTTTCTCAGGAACCACTGTGTCCCCGTCCCCCTCCCCAAGCTAGAAGGCAAGTTCCTGAGCGGAAATCTTTTACTTACGCGCTCCCACCTGCCCCGGTGCGTGGAAGTGGGTAAACACTGTTGCATGATGGACGGACGGATGGACGGAAGGGCTGATGTTGACTGATGGAAACAGACCACAGAGCACATTTGAGGCCCATCTGGTCTGGAGCCTGCCCTTGTACCTGCTGCTCCAGATGTGTGGTGGACGCTGCTGCTGCTGCTGGCCTTGAAGTTCTGGTCACTGTGGCTCGGCCTGGCCCCGCCTCACATGGCCGTGAACTCTGCCTCAGCTCTAGATAAAGAGGCAGGCGCAAGCCCACACAGCTTGGCTCTCTGCTGAGCCCCCAAGAGTCAGAAGTCAGGGGCTCGTGGGGTCTGGCCCTGTTGAGGTGCCCCAAGACCCACCATCAGCAAGAGAGCCATTTCTGGGCTGCGGTTGGTAGGCTCCTGGTCCCAGCTGCTCCTCCCTCCGCAGGGTGGCTCCTTCGGCAGGGGCACGAACCTCCGGGGTGGCTGCGACGTTGAGCTCATCCTCTTCCTCAACTGCTTCAAGAACTTCGAGGACCAGGAGCGCCACCGAGGGGAGATCCTCAAGGAGATGCGGACACAGCTGGCATCGGGGTGGCAGGACCCAGTCCCCGGGCTGTGCCTTACGTTTCCTGAGCAGAACACACCTGGCGCTCTGCAGGTCCAGCTGGTGTCTGCCGCCCCAGAGACTTGGGTGAATGTCAGCCTGCTGCCCGCCTTTGATGCCGTGGGTAAGGACGCCCAAGCCTGGGGAAGTGACAGAGAAACCCTGGGGACCTGGGAGCACATACAGGCGCCACCTGCCATCCTCCTTGTGCTTCTAAGTCTCCCACTGAATCAGGCACTGAAAACTACTTTGAGGTAGTTTTGAGATCTGAGGCAGATCTCAGCCGATGGAGAGCTTTACCCAGATCTTAGTGAGGGAAGGTTCCAGGCTAAAGGAAACTAGAGATACCGCCCACCCACAGTTACCAACAGTAACGGTTCCCCAGATCTGCTGGGGATTGTAAAGGAAATTTCAGGGTATCATTTCCTCCTTCGCTTTCGAGAATTTACTTTAGGATTCCTTTTTCTGACTTTTGGAAGTGAATCTTAGTCATTGTCAGTCCTAAAGAAATGCAGTTATGGAGGCTGAGGAGGCTGAGGCAGGAGGCTCTGGACACAGGCACCACTGATTCCGGGCAGAATGTGGAGCAGTCCATTCGGGCCTGAATATTTTGTACTCTGCATCCTGACATCATCTTTTGCTCTTTGATCTATGACTATTTGGACGTGGGTTTCCAAATGAAGGTTTGGAGTTTGGTTCCTTTGTTTCTTTAAACACTTACTATTTTTTTTTAACATTACTCCAACAGTATACTTCACGTGATGACACTTCTTGGTAATTTGCTGGAACTTTCCAGGTTTAGACTTGAGTTAAAAAACCTTTCTGTTTCCGCTTCCTGCTTGAAGGGTCTGATGGGTGTTTTCCCTCAGGGTCTACTGTCCTATAACCTCTCTCCTTTCTGAAGAGAAGTCTGCTGTCCCTTTATCAGTCATTTCTTTGTATGTAATCTATTTTTATTTGTATGTGTGGCTTTTTGCTTGGTCTTCCCCTGACACACCCCCTCTCCCACTTTTGGGGAGACTTTGAGACTTTCTTGGTCCACAGTGTTCTTCAGTGTCTCCGTGATCCGTCTGTGCATGGACTGCTCCATATTCTGTCTGGAATCAGTGGTGCCTCCTGTGTCCAGGAACTCAACCCTTCCTTTAGTTTTGGGGAAATGTCTCCCAGGGTCCTTTGCAATATTGCCTCTGCCCATGTTCCCTGTTATCTGCTTTCTCTCGATGACATCCCCGACTCTATCTCTAACGCCCCCCTCACGCTGCCTGCTTCTCATTGCTCAGATCTGTTTTCCGTTTTACTCTTTTCAAATGCATCTAATCATCTACCTATTCTTGATTTTTTAAAAATAAGAACTTTTTCATTTCTAGAAGTTTCTATTTGGCTCTTTCTCAAATCAACCTGTTGTCTGCCCTTCGACTTCATTTCTTCCATTGGGGTCTCAGTGACTCGTATCTTCTTGGATCACCTTAAACATGTCTCTCGGATTGTCCTGTGATCACAAATTCTCCCATCAGCTGTGTCTCCATACCCTCCCCCTCTCCCACCCCACCCCTGGCTGGATCATTTCCTTGTGTGGTTTGTAATTTTTATTGTGAGGAACTTTATTGTATGGAACTTTTACTTTCTTTCCTTTTCCTCTGGAAGGTCCTTCTGCTGTGGGCTGAAGAACTATCCCTCAAGGGACCGAGTTCTCGTTTTGTCTCCAGCTGGGCTCCAAGGGCCTCACGCATTCCCAGGCCAGCTTAGGGGGTGACTCCACAGCCTGGGACTTCCCCACCAGGCTGTAAATTTGGATTTCACAACTGCATCCAGCATTGGATTGGGGTCTAAGTTTCTCCTGGGGGACTTTTCTTCCCCTGTCCCCAGGAGCCTCTCTCTATTGGTGGGTGATTCTTCTGAGACACCTTTCAGGGTTTTCATTCCAGAATGAAGGAGAGGCTGGGCCTCAATTCCAGTTTCCTCTCCCTTCCTTGATTTTTTTACCCTCTCCTGGGAGATGACAACATGAATAATAGCAGTAATTAATGCTTATTGAACACTCGGTGTTTTTAAAGCAGTTTGGAGCAATTTACATGTGGATTTCATTTTACATTGCTTCTTATAATAACCTTATAAGGAGGATGCTGCTTATGATCCCCAAAGACGCAAATCACACAGCTTGGATTTGAACCCAGGATTATCCATTTTGGAAGCTCATTCCCTTAACTTCTATGTGAAAATTATTGGACTACCCAGTTCAGGGTTGATACTAAAATAAAGGGGTGTGTGTGTGGGGGGGAGGTGGTGGCTCAGTGGTAGAGCGCTTGCCTAGCCCGTGTGAGCCACTGGGCTTGCTCCTTAATACCACATAAAAATAAAATAAAGGTTTTGTCCACCTACAACTAAAAAAAAATTTAATGATAATTCTGTTATCCAATATTGCAATATATTATGATTGATTGCAATGTCACATAATTAATGTTGAAATTAATTGCATTAATGAGCGTCATCCATTGCACTAATGGTGGATGCATGGTGCGCGCTGCTAGCTTCATTCCCAGCTGCACAATGAGTGGTCCCACTTCCACAGGGCAGCTCGGAGCCAACACCAAACCTCAGCCCCAGGTGTACACGGCCCTGTTCAACAGCGGCGGCCACGACGGCCAGCACGCGGCCTGCTTCGCAGAGCTTCGCAGGAACTTCGTGAACACGCGACCCGCCAAGCTCAAGAACCTCATCCTACTGGTGAAACACTGGTACCATCACGTGAGTGCCCCTCGGCCCTCCCCTGGAAGCAGTGCTGTCATGACAACTGCCTGGGCCAATCAGCTCCTTCCCTGCACAGACATTTCCTCTCCTTTGCATTCCATTGGCCATCCCAAGCGGAAGAACCGCCTCTAGCTCCTCCCTTTCCTGCCCAGATCCGGAAGTCCCTGTGTCTTTCCTCCGTGAAGGCCTTCGTTTTCGTAGCTGGGGTTCCCCGTCCCTGTGTGGCCCGTGGGTTTCTCCCCACTCCTCGCACTCCTGATGCTTTCCCACCCCAAGGCCTCTGCCCGCGCCCTTCTGCCTGTCAGTCATCTTCTGCACGCTGCCCCAACTCTTGAGCATCCCCTGGAGGCCCGTGCCCATTCCCACCCCGCAGGCACTGATCTTGGGTTGACCTTCCCTGACAGGTGGCAGCTCAAAATCAAGAGCAGCCAGGCCCCTCTCTGCCCCCAGCCTATGCCCTGGAGCTCCTGACCATCTTTGCCTGGGAGCAGGGCTGTAAGAACCACAGTTTCAACATGGCCCAAGGCCTGCGGACTGTTCTGGGGCTGGTCCAGCAGTACCAGGACCTTTGTGTCTACTGGACGGACAACTATGGCACTGAGGACCCAGCCCTGAGAACACACCTTCTTGGCCAGCTTCGGAAACCCAGGTGCACACCAGCTCCCCGGTGCCCGCCTCCACCCTGTGCTCTGTGCCCACTGTCACCTGGCATCTGTGTCCAGGAAGGCTCCAAGGCAGGCTTGGGGTCACCAGTCATCTTGCTTACCTCTGGACTTTGATGGGGAAGTGTGCACACAGGAGAAAACCAGAGCCAGTTTTATAGCACAGTAGGTGGCCATATCTCAAAGTGAGGGGCCACAGAGTAGCCAGCAGCCAGCTGGGGCTCCTTCTGAATGTGGGCAATACTGGGCCAACCCTGGGGTCCTGACACTGTCCCCAACCCTCACGCCTCTTCCCAGACCCTCCACATTCCCAACCACCTGCCCCCCCACTCTGTCCTCAGGCCTCTAATCCTGGATCCTGCTGACCCCACCTGGAACGTGGGCCAAGGCAGCTGGGAGCTGTTGGCCCAGAATGCAGCAGCCCTCGAGACCCAGGCCTGCTGTATGAGTGGGGACAGAACCCCTGTGCCACCCTGGGATGTGCTGGTAAGAGGCAGGCCCTGGGGAGGGGGCATCGTTGGCTCCCCTCCCTGGTGCCCTTTACCTGCCAGTGTGGCATCCCCAGCTTGGAGTGTTGGCTGAGGTGGTTAGCACTGTCCCCTGTTCTGGAGAATGGACCTCCAAGAGCAGCACAGGTTGTCCCATCTCATCCAGTGCCTGAGACACACAACGTACAAAGACCCCACCTTTGTCTCAAGGCGGGACCAACTCTTGTGATGTGGGTCACGCTCCCAAGCTCCCTGTGGGATCAGGCACGAGCTCATCTCCTTCCCACCCCCTTATTGTGCTACCCTTGTTCCCTGTGAGCATGGCCCCAATTAATCACGTGCCCAAGAATCCCCTGATCAGGCTGTTTCTAGGGAAACCAACCTAAGAGGTAAGCCATCTGCACCTTATGAAAGGATATTGTTAATCTAGTTTTCATTGCTGTAACAAAATACCTGAAGCCAGAAAACTTTATAAAGAAAAGAGGTGTGTTTAGCTCCCATTTTTAGGAAATTCAAGGTCATGGTGCCAGCATCAGCTGGGCTCTGCCGGGGACCCATGGGATGGCATCACAGCCACAGGAGACCCTGTGGGAAGAGGAGATGGCATCCTGAGACAGGAAGCCCGAGAGCTGCCGGCCTGGCTCACCCACCCCACCTGTTCTCTCCGCAGCCAGCTCTCCTCCACCAGACCCCAGCTAGGGACCTGGACAAGTTCATCAGCCGGTTTCTCCAGCCCAACCGCCACTTCCTGGCTCAGGTGAACAAGGCCGTCAACACCATCTGCTCGTTCCTGAGGGAAAACTGCTTCCGGAATTCTCCCATCAAAGTGCTCAAGGTGGTCAAGGTGAGTCCCCGGAGAGCAGCAGGCAAGACGGGTCCTGCCGGTGGCTGATCTCTCCCAGGCCAGTATTGGGGCTGACCCCTCTCTGTGCCTGCTGCAGAACGTGGTATGGGTGGATGGTGGAGGCAGAGTCCAGATAAGCCTACATCTCTTGCAGTTGCTAGTGACACTCAGCTCAAAAAAGGACACAAATGAAAGCACCGATTGATGTAACTAGAAAGCCCTGGATTAGGCAGCTTCAGGCATAGCTAGATCCAGGAGCCTACATTATCAGGACTCAGCTTTTCTCTCCAGCTCTTAGATCTGCTTTGTTTTTGTTTCACTGTTTTAAAGCAGAAGCACAAATTTATTGACAACAGAGTGACAATCAATAGTCCGATTTCCATTCAAATCTACAAAAATGGCTCTACTTTTCGGAAGGGGAATTTTTTTTTCTCAAAATTCAAGTTAAGACTTGGAATGGAGTCTCCTAGGCCTGGCTTGGGGAGACAGAATAGAACTAGTCAATCCTGGGGCACACGGAAGGTGGCCCCACCTGGATTTTGGGACCTGGGTGTGGGCAGTTCCCACAGACATAACCAGGATGCTGACCCCAGGTGGGAAGGACGTGGGTGTGCATGAAAGATCACCTCGTCCTCTGCACTTCACACAGCCTCAGTTTACAATTGGACAGGCCCAGTGGAGACCCGGTCATCTCAATACAGTGTCAAAACGGAGGGTCCAGGCCTGCTGGCGTGCTGTGTGACCCCAGGCAAATACTGTGGCCTCTCTGATTCTCCCTTCATCGTTCATAAGAGTCGAGGAGGATGGATTCGCTGCCTGGTTTCAACCCTGGCTTCACCCTAGAATCACATGATGCCCAAGTGCCATCCCAGCTCAAATTAGGACGGGACTCAGCTGTTGGCTGTTCTTAAAAGCTTCTCAGAAACAGTCAAGTTTGAGAGCCACAGGCCCGAGCAAAAACAGAGAAAAACTTTCAAATCCACCCCAGCCCCAAACCATGAAGGAAGGAGAAGTTTCGCATTTGTTGAGGGGATTAACTCACTCCTAGCACACTGTGTTTTCTTCTGATCCTGCTCTATTGAGGAGCAGGTTAGGACTAACTAAGGTTAGGACACTTGCCCAAGGTCACACAGCAGGTTCCTAACTCAGAATCCAGAGCCTTAAGTGCAGGGCCTCAAGCCCTGCTTGTGGGGTTGACCTCTCCCCTGTCCTCCCCAGGGTGGCTCTTCAGCCAAAGGCACCGCTCTGCGAGGCCGCTCGGACGCCGACATCGTGGTGTTCCTCAGCTGCTTCTCCCAGTTCACTGAGCAGGGGAACAAGCGGGCGGAGATCATCTCCGAGATCCGGGCCCAGCTGGAGGCCTGTCAGCAGGAGCAGCAGTTTGAAGTCAAGTTTGAAATCTCCAAGTGGGAGAACCCCCGGGTGCTGAGCTTCTCCTTGACATCCCAGACGATGCTGGACCACAGTGTGGACTTTGACGTGCTGCCAGCCTTTGATGCGCTAGGTGAGGCTCCCGGGTGTAGGCCTGAGAAGGGGAAGGACAGGAGCAGACAGGCACAGTTGTAGAGGTTGTGCACTGCACATCCGGGCTACATGGGTTCACATCACACACATTATCCATGTGAAGGTCTATCACACCTTTCCTGGAGAGAGTCTGGAGAAAAGGGCACTTTTTTCTAATTCCCTCAAAAATGCTCTGTGTGATAACAGTGGCCTCGAGCCACAGGATCCTGGCCCCAGAAGTGCCACCAACATGCACTTTGCAGAGTGAGAAAACCCCCGAAATCTAAGTTCACTTGGTGCCTGAGTTTGAGAGAAGAAGGGGGGAAGGTTCCTGTGGAATGTCTCCGCACTGTCCTGTTCCAAAGGGCCAGCTTGGTGCTCAGCAGTGCCCCTGAGTGCCACAGACCACAGGGGGACCTCCGCCCCTGCCCCTGCAGTGCTGCTGTCCCCAGAGGCTTCAGGTCCAGGACCTGCCACCAATCTCTGCCCCCACGGAGCCCCCGGTGCCTCCAGGGCATCCCAGGCCACCCCAGGGACAGCCACTCTGGGGGGTCACGGACGTCTATCTGGGTTGTGGCTGGGAGACCCTGGGCAATGGTGCCAGATGGCCTCCCCATTGCCCAGGCCAGCTGGGGGCGGGCTCCAGGCCCCCACACGCACAGGTCTACAGGGACCTCATCCGCAGCTACCACTGCGCCGGCGAGTTCTCCACCTGCTTCACAGAGCTGCAGCGCGACTTCATCGTCTCCCGCCCCACCAAGCTCAAAAGCCTGATCCGGCTGGTGAAGTACTGGTACCAGCAGGTCCAGGTGCGGCCCAGGGACTGGCCCCCACCACAGCCCCTGGCACAGTCCCAGACCCCTGGGTTGGAGGAATAGGGTGCCCTGGAGGGCCTCAGTTTTCCCCTCTGACTGATATAACTACAAAGCCCTGGATTAGGCAGCTTCAGGCATAGCTGGATCCAGGAGCCTACACAGCATTATCAGGGCTGACGGCTGCGTCCCGGGATCTGATGGGTGTGTAGGTGCTGGGGGGGGCATGGCCCCTCCGACCCCACCATCGCCACTCTCCTTGTTCCCCAGGGCCACAAGATGCCCAAGGGGAAGGGCTCCCTGCCCCCCCAGCACGGGCTGGAGCTCCTCACCGTATACGCCTGGGAGCAGGGCGGCCAGGACCCCCAGTTCGGGATGGCCGAGGGCTTCCGCACGGTCCTGGAGCTCATCACGCAGTACCGCCAGCTCCGCATCTACTGGACCGTCAACTACAGCGCCGAGGACGAGACCATCGGGGACTTCCTGAGACAGCAGCTTCAGAAGCCCAGGTCCAGGCCAGCCCGGTCCCCAGACTCCGGCTGGGGCTCCCCCCACCCCCAGGGCACAGAGCAGAGAGAGCAGGACCCCAAGTTCAATCTCAGCTGCGCAGCGAGTGCCCTTCAGCATCAGCGCGCTCCGGGCGAGCGGGAGAGACCTAGGCCAGGGACACTGTGACCCTTGTTTGTCTGAAGTGCGTTGAGGGCAGGGCTCGCTGCAGAGCCACCAGGGAGCATGAGGCGTCTCGTTCTCTGAAATGGGCACAGAGATAGAAGAGATGTCCCCGAGCTCGTGACACATGTCTAGTCGTTGGGCAGTGGCCATACAGGGGGACATTTTAAAGACACTCATGATGTCATCTGCCTTAGTAGAGAGAGGAGCCTGATCCGCCCAGGATGCGGGAGGGAGAGAGGTGGCCAGGCTGGAGTGGGCATCAAGGCCCACGCGCCCTGGGGGAGCACGGAGCCGAGGGGGATCAGTACATCTGCCTGGATGCAGCATGGTCAAGGGACCACCAGGCAGAGGAGCCCCTGAGTCCTGTCCAGCCCCTGCAGTGTCAGATACGGGGAGAGGACAGTCCGGCCAAAGCCACAGGGGCAGCCCTAGATGTGCTAGGAGTCACACTGACTCTGGGTGGAATTGCAGACCCATCATCCTGGACCCGGCTGACCCGACGGGAAACCTGGGCCACAGCGCCCGCTGGGACCTGCTGGCCAAGGAAGCCGAGGACTGCATGTCTGCACTGTGCTGCACGGACAGGGACGGCACTGCCATCCGGCCGTGGCCAGTGAGGGTGAGAGCCTGGGGGGACCAGGGGGGCTGCTCCTGCCCCAGCCGGGCACCAGGGCTCCGTCCTGCAGTCCCCGGGGACCAGCGTCTCCTGCCACGCTCTCCCCCAGGCTGCTGTGTGAAGTCCAGGAGGTCAGTGGCTGCGCTGGACGGCAGGAGTGGACCCCAGCCCCAGTGGCTCTGCAGACCATCTCCCCCTCGCCTGCCCCCGGCCCTCCTGCTCCTTCCCGGGCAGCCCCCTGCCTCGGAACCCGTGCACAGGGAAAGAGGCAGCGCTGGGGTTGATTGTGTTGTGGTGTGAACTGATCGATAGGATCAGTAAGAGTGCGAGTCATAGGTTATAGACTAGTGCAAATACAGATTGTAGATATGAGATTTTGATAAGTGAGACGAGACCATTATAAAACAGGACTGTCCCGGGCGGGCCTCGGACTCCATTTGTGCCTCCCATAAAACCCTGTTCCAAGAGCCGTTTCTGAGAAACTGAAATAAAAGCTGTTTTCTTATTTAAAAAATTGTCTTTCTGGACTTTGTACCCCACAAATTGTCCCCTACTCAGGGTGTAGCGGTGGTCTGGGGAGCTGTGTCCTGGGTGTGAGTGCCCCCGTGGGTCTACACGACTTTGAAGTACTCTCTGGCCTGCCGACCCCCGCCCAATTCAGGATGCGACTGTCCAGCACCTGCTGAACCTAGGGCTGTGGCCCCGCAGCGGCAGAGCTAATGCATGTTAGCTTCCGGTTGTCACTTGGAGCCCACAGGTCCCCCTGGTCAATCTTTTATGATTGGCTGGCTCACGACGACCAGCAAGTCACTGAGTTGTGGCTTTTGTCCTCATATCCTCCTTGGAGGGACCAGGAAGCGGCTGTCCTCCCACAGAGCTTGATCTCTGCGGTGGGTGACAGTCCCTGGCCAGGTAACTAAAGCTCTCTTTTGATTTGAATTTGGACTTGGGGAGTCTTCTGAAGCGGGTCCCCTAACCACTGGTCACGTCTGCCTGATGCAGAGGACAGAGGGCTCCAGGGGGCTCTTTTCTGTCTCGGCCCCAGAGTGCACACCTGGGGCACGGAGGCGTCCCAGGGCCCTGCCGGCCTCTGCCTTCTGAGCGTCTCTCCTGTGACGGCCAGGCTGCCCAGCAGTGACCACTCACACTCCGTCTCACCCTGAGGCTCCGTGTCGCCTAAAGTGCTTCTCCAGTGGGAAGGCCCCGCCCTGTGCCTAGTAACGGGTGCCTGGCACAGGTCCTTGGCTGCGCAGAAGGACAGCTCCTATGCAGTGGGAGTGGTTCTCTTGCTCCATTTTTCTTGGGCCACAAACCTCTTCAGAGATTGATGGTCCAGACGTCAGTGGCCATTCTCTACTCGTGCTGACCCAGGGTCCTCTTGACCCACTTCCCTTCTGCTGGCTTGCTGCTGGGCCAACCCGGGCAGTCCCGCGGGGGACACTGACATCCCCACTGCACAGTCTCTCTGACTGCCCGGGCCAGCTCCTGTCACTCGCAGCTACGGCAATCCAGATGTGGTTTTTGCCTTTAAATAATGTAGTCCAGCCCAGCATCCCCCACAGTCACCACCTGTGAATCGGATGGAGGAGGGGCCCACCCCAGGGGACAGAGGAAGGAGGCCCCTGAGCCCCCTCTGCCAGGGATGTTAGGCACCCGGCTGTCCAGGGCCTCTGCTTAAGATGCCCGCCAAGGACACAGGACCAGGGGCCATCCACTCAGCCCTGGGACCCTCACAGCTGAGGGCTGGGGACAGCCCCACCGTCTGGGCCACCTGCACAGCCCCTCCCCACCCCAGGTGCTGAGCTCCCTGGGTGGGTGGGTGGCTGGCTGGGAATCCAAGCCTGGAACTCAGGACCCCAGGTTCCACCTCTTGGGTTGGCCCTGGATGCTGGCCAGGCACATCTTCCAGAGCTGGGGGCAGAACCCCCTCTTCCCTAGGGAAACTCGGTCTTTCCTTCTATTAAGGCCTTCGACTGATTGAGTGAGGCCCGCCCCATTCGGTGGGTGGTCTCCTAACTCAAAGTCCACTGGTTTAATGTTAGCCTCATCTTTAAAATACATCCACAAAAAGATTTGGAGTAAGTTTGACCAAATATCTGGGCAACTGGGCTTGGCCAAGTTGGTGCATAAGATCAACCATCCCAGCAGGGGATGATTCCCTTGAGCCTTGGGGACTTTTGCCTCCTGGGTGAATCACTGCTGGGCAGAGGCAGCGGGGCAAACCCTCTGAGTTTCGATTTCCCAGTTCTGTGCGCAGAAGTTGCGTTTCTCGGTCTCCCTCGGACCCACCCACGCTCGGTCCCTCCTGCTCTGAGCATGTGACAGGGATCATTTAATGCTCCTCTTGACCCCTGACAAAAGTGCCACTTTCTGCAGGTGGGGACCCTGAGTACCAGGGAGGGCGGGTCGTGAGCCCTAGGACGCACCTGGCGCCCGGGAGCCCCCGCGTAGCCCCGCGGGCTGCGCTTAGCTGGCGGCTGGTTCCCGCGCAGAGGCGGCGGGACAGGCTCGGCTGCGTTTCCGTCCTCAGGCGGCCGCGGGGGCGGAGCTGCGCGGGCTTCGCTTTCCTTTTCCCCAGCGCAAAGCGGGGCGCAGGGCACAGAGCGCAGGGCCGCGGTCAGCAGGGCGCCATGGGCAACTGGGAGTCGCAGGTGTCCTCGGTGCCCGCCCCGCAGCTGGACGAGTTTGTCCAGAGGCACCTGAAGCCCTCCGAACCCTGTCGGAAGCAGATCCAGGGGACGGTGGAGACCATCTGCGCTGCCCTGAAGGAAATCCAGCCCTTCCCCGTGGTGCAGAGCGTGGCCATGGTGAGCGTGGCCCCGGCCGGGGTGGCTGGAGGTGGATAGGGGCGCGGGCCTCGCGGCTGCCTCTGCCCCTACCCCGCTGTGGCATTGGGCAAGCTGCGCACCCTCTCTGGGCCGGTCGGGGGGCGGGGGAGATGGTACCCACTTTAGGGTGTCTTCAGAGTTGAACATCCGATGTCCTCCGCAGAGGGCTGCCCCGCCACCGGTTCATAAATCAATGAACAACTGATTTGTCGCTGGTTCCGTGGGCCCATTGTACAGAGGAAGCTACTGAGGCTGGAGGGTCTTAATGAATCTGCGCCGGGCTGCTCTGAGGTTCTCATCAGCTAGGGGCAGGAAGGGTGGTTCTCATCCTTTAGAAATGTTTAGAATGGTGGGCACCAGGACTGGGGCCGTCCTGGGCCTGTGGGGCGGAGGGAGCACTAGGAAAGTTCAGGACCCGTGGGGAAGGGGGGTCCTAATCCCCAACACCACTGTATGGGTCAGTGTTTCGTTCTGTAATATCTGAGGCTGCCTTTCTTTTCTTGGTGGGGAGGAGGTTGAGGTCGGTAACCAGGGATTGAACCCAGGGTTGCTTAACCACTGAGCCACATCCCCAGCCCTATTTATTTATTTATTTAGAGACAGGACCTTGTAGTTGCTTAGAGCCTCCATAAGTTGCTAGGCTGGCCTCGAACTTGCGATCCTCCTACCTCAGCCTCCCCAGCCTCTGGGATTATAGGCGTGAGCCGCCGCACCCACCTAGGCTGGCTAACCTTCTAAAGAAAAGAGGTTTATTTATCTCCCAGTTTGGAATGTTTAAGGTCCAGAGGGCATGGCGTAGGCTCTGGCCAATAATCATGGCCAGAGCAGATGTGAGTAGAAGGACCAGAGCTCAAATGGGAAGCAAGAGAGAGACTGGGCCCTCAAGCCCTCTGGAGGGAAGGCTCCCCACTGGCCTGGGGACCTCCCCCAGCACGCCACTTCCTAATAAAGAGGAGTGCCCAGACCCAAGTGCTCAGCTGGACAGGCTGCCAGACCCTCAAAGTGTCCCCAGCCCCCAGGAGCCTGGGTCTCCACCCAGTCAGGACCCCAATCCCAGGTAGACACGCTCCGGACTTCCAGCAGCTTGGTTGGTTTGTTTGGTTGGTTTGTTTTTTGGCACCAGAGTTTGAACTCAGGGACACTTGACCACTGAGCCCCATCCCCAGCCCTACTTTGTATTTTATTTAGAGACAGGGTCTCACTGAGTTGCTTAGCACCTCACTTTTGCTGAGGCTGGCTTTGAACTTGAGATCCTCCTGCCTCAGCCTCCTGAGCTGCTGGGATCACAGGTGCACCAGCCACAGCACCCAGCCACTTTTGTGTGTTTTTTTAACTTCATATAAATGTAAAGTGACCATCCATCCCAGATTGCCCAAACTTGAGATTTTTCCTGGGATATGGGACTTTCAAATTAGGGATTTATCCAGGACTACTTGGTCACCCTTTACAAATGATGCCATGCACTAAGTGTGCCTTAGTGTGTGGTTTCTTTGACCTATCACACCTATGAAATATGTATTATTACCCACAGCTGTTTATCATTTTCATTATTGTATAGTATTCCACTGTGTAAATACACTGTGTTTGTCTTTTTTTTTTTTTAATGTGGTACTGAGGCTGTAACCTGACTCACTTGTGCTAAGCAAATGCTCCACCACTGAGCTACTTCGCCAGCCCCACATTTGTCCACTTATTGCAAATGGCCATTGAGTAGTGGCCTCCAGTTCTGAGGACAATAAGGAAAGCGATCCTATGAGCATCTCCCATTTTTTGTGGACACGGGGATGCCTGCCACTCAATTATAAGGCTATGGTAACATTTTTGGTTTTCAGTCAAATTGGAGGTCCCCCCCCCCCCGTGAACCTCCAAGAGTCCAGGGTCTCATGTCTGCTACTTTGTCACCCGCAGGGTGGCTCCTATAGCCGGGAAACGGTCTTGAGAAACCACTCAGATGGTACCTTCGTCCTCTTCCTCGACCACTTGGCAAAATTCCAGGACCACAAGAAAAACCAACAGGAAATCCTCGACATCATTGAGCAACAGCTCAAGGCCCGTCTGCTCGCCCACAGGCTGACAGCCTGGTATCAGATCCTGAGACTCGGAGGGCAGCTCCACATCGAGGTGTCCACCAGGTGGCAGACTGTCTCCTTTCAGGTGCTGCCTGCCTTCAATGCTCTGGGTGAGTGCTCCCGGGCGGAAGCCTCGGGGTCCTGTAGCCCTGGGCAGGGGAAGCACCAGTGCTTCTCAAAAAGGGACCCTTGGGAGGGAAGGGCCCCCTGCCCGGCTGACGCTCCTCTCTGGAACTCCTCCCACCTCCCCACTGACGGTGGCAGGAAGGTTCTAGACACTTGAATCTCGGAAGCTGGGTTTTCCAAGCCCCTGGGCCCTTCTGGAAGCACAGGTTCCTCAGGGTCTGAGGAAGGGCCCAGGCTGCCCCAGCTCCCGCCGGTCCACAGCCACCAGGCTGGCTCCCCAGGGACAGGAGGGGCAGGACAGGCTGCAGCCTGCGTCCTCCCAGGACAAGAGCAAGGCAACCACCTTCCATGGGAGCCTGTCTACCAGAGTCTGGGGGTGCTCCTCCCACCCCCCAAGACCTGCCTGCCTCCTGTGTCCCCTGCTTGCCAATGCCCCCACGGTCCTGCCTGTCTCCAATCCGGGCTGCACCTCTCATCAGTGTGTCTCCCCCGCTCCCCCACAGCCCTGGCTACCCCCAGTCCTGCCCCTCTTGCCTTCAATCTGTCTCCCGCCCGCCCACCGCTACTCCAGGCCACCGAGATCTGGCCATAGCCCCCTGAGGGTCTCCCTACTCCTCTCCTCTGCACTCTGCGGATGGGTTCTATCTGTCCCAGCACAAGCGTGGTTCTGCCCCTCTCCATCACACCCTTGACCAGATCCCCGCAGGGCAGGACGCTGATGGCCTAGTGGCCCTTCGGGCTCATCCCAACCCAGTCTGCTGCCCACCCAGGTTCACCTTCGCTGAGCTGCTTCGACCTGCCACGTGCGCTCAGCCCAGACTGCGGCCCAGGCTCTGGGGCCTCATCTGGAACATTCTTCTGCCTGCCTTTTATTTTTTGGTAACTCCAACTCACCGTTGGTTCCTGTGCCTGATTTAGACCCACTTCCTGTAGGCTCTGATAGTGACCTGTGTGTCCCCAATCGTGAGCTATGTCACTGACATCCAGATAACTTGTTCTGCCTCTTCTAGATGGTACCGTCATGAGGACAGGTACATGACCGTGCTTCTCTGGACGCCAGTACAACGTTTATTATCAATAATCATTGTTTGGCAGTTGGGTGGGTGGGTGGATGGATGGATGGATGGATCTTCTAATTGATGGAGGGATGATGGATGGAAAATAGATGGATGGAGGGATGTGGGTGGATGATGGATGGAAAATAGATGGATGGAGGGATGTGGGTGGATGATGATGGTGGGATGATGGATGGAGGGATGATGGATGGAGGGATGGTGGATGGAGGGATGGTGGATGGTGGATGGTGGAGGGACTTAAGAATACTAGAACAGAGATCCAGCCTCTCCTTGCACATGTGGGGAAATGGAAGGAAAAGACTATCCCCAGGGCAACATGGTCAAGGCACAGACAATACTAGAATCAGAACCCAGGGCATCCAAGCCCCTGGCCAGGGTGCCTTTCATCACCCAGAGTTTTAAGGAATTTCTGGATTGCACGGGACTTTGAAGAACAATAGTTCCCCCATCTTCTGATAAGGTGAGGACATACACCTATTCCGAGGACTCCCTGTCACAGAAAGGTGACCTGGCCAGAGAGAAGGGCATCAGGGCAGTCCTGAGTCTGGTCCCACCAGGTCCGGTGTCCACCGACTGTAAGATCGGACTAGAGACGGCAGCTTGCAGGGGCATTAGGAGGTTAAGGGTGTGAGCCTGCGCCTGCCTGAACCGCGGGCTGGAGTCGGGGCGCAGAGATCCGCGACTGCAGCTTACAGTGGTCCTGCGCGCTCTGCCCTCATTCCTGCCCCCGTGGCTGGCGGCAGCGGCGCGCCCTCTGCCGGGTGCACCCTGTCATGCCAGGACAGTGCGAGAAAGAAACGCACGCCTCCCCACCTGTGGTACCCAGAAGCCACCGCCAGATGGTGGTAGAGCTGCATGTTCCAAATCGAGATCCCTCTCTAGGCGAAGAGAGAGGTTTTTGCTTTTGTTTTCCTTTGTAGGCAGAGGGTTGAACTCAAGGCCTTGTGCATGCAAATCAAATGCTCTTTCCTCCAAGCCACACCCCCAGCCTAGATCTCTTCTAGAAAGAAGCAATAAAGGTTGTCTTCTGAATTCACTGACTGCTCTCTTTACTAGATAGCAGCCTAACCAACCTGGCCGCCCTTTAGTACCAGGTTCTGCAGTCTTCCTGCAACTCACCTCTCCCCAGGGCCTTCCACCCAAGCCACAACTATGACGGCTCTTTGACCCATCCATCATCCATCCACCCTCATCCATCCATCATCCCTCCCTCCATCCATCCATCATCCCTCCCTCCGTCCATTCACTGGACATGTCTGTATTCCCGTTTCCTCCTCTGTAACTTAGCTGTGGCGATTGCACTTAACCAAGAACAGTTTGGTGATGTTGCATTAAGGGCATGGACCGTGCCTAGCAGAGAGTCAGCACTCAATGATTACCACTGTGGGGAGGGGGGAATGCTCTTTGTTCAACCTCCTTGCTTGCCAATGACCCTGGACCCTGCCTGGGAGTCAGCAAATACGTGTGGGATGCAGAAGAGCAAAAAGCCTCCTGCCTCCTCCTGGTTGTTGATCCAGATGTGTTTATATGTCACCTATCATTGCTACCTCTCTAGTCATTTCTGCTGGTGATTTTCATCAGCAAACTACCTGTTGCAGTCACCTGTTATGGAAGCGCACCAGCCTTCCTAGAGATTGTCCCCCATCATTGTTCCTGCCTCTCTGAGCCCGGGTTTCCCTCTCCATAGGCTTCAGTGAGAATCCCAGCCCCTGGATCTACAGAGATCTCAAAAGAGCCATGGATGAGACCTCTGCCTACCCAGGAGAATTCTCGGTCTGCTTCGCAGAGCTCCGGAAGAAGTTTTTCAGCAAGTATCCCAGAAAACTGAAGGACTTGATTCTCCTGATAAAGTACTGGTACCAGCAGGTAATTTCAAATTGAACATGTCATTACGATGTGCTTCCTTGTGACTGAGACGACGCACATCCAGCCAGGTTCCACAGCTTGCTGTTATTGTTCATCCTCATCGGCAATTCCCAATTAAAATGGAGAACGCTTTCTGCCTTGCAGATGCCATCTTGAGACCACCTTGGTCCATTATGCCCCAGACACCCCTATTCCAACATCTGTCACCACCAACCAGTGCCGGGGATTGAACTCAGGGGCACTCGACCCCTGAGCCCCATCCCCAGCCCTATTTTGGATTTTATTTAGAGACAGGGTCTCACTGAGTTGCTTAGTGCCTCACCATTGCTGAGGCTGGCTTTGAACTCACGATCCTCCTGCCTCAGCCTCCTGAGCTGCTGGGATTACAGGTGAGGGCCACCGCACTCAGTCTGTTTCTGAAGGGTTTGCATCTCCTTTCTTTTGTCAACACGATATCTGGGAGATTCAGCCACATTGTTGCAAGTAGCGGAAACGTTTTCTTGTTTCCAACAGTTCCATTTTGTGAATATACCACATATTGATCTTTTCTACTGCTGATGGGCATTTGGGTCATTTCCAAATTGGAGCTATTATGAATTAGGTTACTCTGCCTATTCTCCTGGGTGTCTTTTATAAATTTAAACACTCGTTTCTCTTGGGTAGGCATACGGCGGTGCCATGGCTGGGTTCTAGGGTCAGCATACGGTTGTGTACATGTGTGTGTGTTCACACAACCACATGGAACACCTATGTGCATATGTATATCTACAAGCCTGGGATCCATATGAAATACATACGGGGAGTTTTTAATTCACTTCTTTATGGCCAAACAGTTTTCCAGAACAGCTACACCTAGTTATATTCCCATGAGGGTAGGTGAGAGTTGGGGTTGCCCGACACTCTGTCCAGCCTGGGGTTGGACAGTGCCTTCAATGTTAGGCCTTCTGATGGGGACAGGGACTTCTTGTAGACTCCGGATTCCTTGATCTCGGACCCCAGGGCACAGGGAGAATTGGGTCTCAGCACGGCCCTTGCTCTTGTCTCTTCCCACAGTGCCAGAAAAAATGGGGGATTTCCTCCTTGTTCTCGGAGTATGCCCTGGAGCTCCTCACGGTGTACGCCTGGGAGCAGGGGTGCGGAGCTGAGGACTTCGACATGGCCCAGGGCGTCCGCACTGTCTTGGGGCTGATCGAGCAGAAGGACCTCCTGTGCGTCTACTGGACAGTCAACTACGACTTTGAGGACGAGACCGTCAGGAATGTCCTCCTGCAGCAGCTCCGATCTCAGAGGTGGCCAGCCTGCCCCGCAGTCTCCCCCACAGGCCGCGCGCCAGGCCTCAGGCCTTCCCCCGTGGCCCCAGGGGCTGAAAGTGGGGACCTGGCCCATGCTCTCGCTCCCCAAACTGGGGTCACGCTTTGTCCTAGAAACAAACATGGCAGCCGTGCTCTAGGAGGGGCAGAGGTGCAGAGGGGGGAAGGGGTCAGGAGGAAGGAGAAACCCCTGTGTCCTCGGTCGTTGGACCCTCCCTGCCAAGCAGTGGACACAGGCCCAGAGAACCGACTGTCACAGAAAGAGCCCTAGCAGCCCAGGGGACCCGCAGGAATCCAAATCTGGGTGGCAGCTGCCCACTCTGCCCTCAGAACTGACGAGTTTTCCTCCAATGGGACTCCCAGGCCGGTCATCCTGGACCCTGCTGACCCCACCAACAACGTGAGCACACGGGGTGTACCCTGGCCGCGTCTGAAGGAGGAAGCCGGGCTCTGGCTCTCTTCTCTCCAGCAGAGCGGCGAGGCGCCGAGGCTCTCCTGGAATGTTCTGGTAAGAGGCTTTTCCACACACGGCTTGCTCCAGACTGCAGAGGGGACGATGCACGGAGGACATTCCCAGGTCAGACCACTAGGACTATTCTGCCTCCTTGAGAACATTCATCTTCGGAGGACAAGCAGATGGAGCAAATTCCACCTTCTGCAGACAAGGGACTGATTTACCCCCAATTCTATGGGAGGCAGGAACTGCACCCCTTTTGTAAAGAAGTCTGAGGGCTGTAAATGAACATGTGAAGGAGCTCACCTGACGAAGGAGCCCGTGCCTGAGGAGGTTCCCTAACTGGACCCCCGGGCCCTGCCCCAGCCCCCCTCACTCTGGAAACCTGGTCCTGGCTCCCTCCCCCCAGTTTTCATGGTGTTTTATTCTGAAAAGCTTTCAAACATAGAATAGTGGCAGCAATGGTCCAGCGGGTCTCTCTGGGCCCCGACACAGCTGCACAGATGTGCCACATTGACCACATCTGCCACAGGACACGCATGTCATTATCACTCTTCAGTTTAGACCGGGACGTTTGAGACTAGGCTACCAGACACCTTCCTAGCTGGACATTTCTGCTCCTCCATAATCTCCAGGCCACCAGCTAATGCCGCTGGGCTCATATGTTTTTACTGTCTCAATCCAGTCCATTTCTAGATCGCGTCCAGTACCCCGAGAATATCCTCTAGAACATTCTATCCCAGAGCACAGGTCGCGTTGGTTCTTGTGTCTCCCCTATACCATCTTGGGCTCCTGCTTTGGTCATTTGTGTCTTGCTCTTCTCCTGCCTCTGTGTCCAGACTGGGGACCCCCCCCCCAGCTACTGAGGATAAGACAGGAGCCCAGGAGCTGCTGAACAACAGGAGGGCTCACGTGCATGTGTGCACACACACACTCTCACACACTCACGCACACTCACACACACTCACACACAAACCCTGCACTTCCAAGTTTGCCCTCCAGGGGGAGCTACCCCAAGAACTCTGAGGTCCCCTTGCAATATCTGTGGGCAACCAAGGTTAACTGTTGACCATGGAGCTGGGCGACTTTCGCACCTCCAATGGGCTGGTCAGTGCTGGGCAGCGGAAGGACCTCATTCCTCAGAACAATGTGTGCATCGCCCCTTAGTGCAGCTGTCTGTTTAGTGCCCCAAGCCTAGTGGCTACAGCAACACGAGTTGATTCTCTTACAGTTCTGGGGAGAAGCAATCCCAGATGGCACGCCCTGTGCCGGAACGGAGGCGTCGTGGGCTCTGGGGAAGGATGTGTTTCCTGGGCTTTTCGAGCTTCTCAAGGCTGTCCCAAGTTTCTTGACTCCTGGGCCTTGCTTCCTCCACCTGCAAAGCCAAGAGCCTGGCACCTTGCTGTCTCTGTCTCTGCTTCTGGGGCCGCCTGGCCTTCTTCAGCTCTAACCTTCCTGCCTGCCTTGTCATCTCGGGACTCCCTGGACCAGCCGGGTGACCGGGCTCATCTCCCCACCTCAAGTCCTCACCAGCCCGTCAGGAGCGGGACCCAGATCTCTCCAAGGTGGTAACGAGAGGAACTAGCAGGGTGCTCACCCCCGGGGGATTCGGGTACCACCCTAAGCTCTCAGGTGCGCTCCTGAGGTGAAGCCACTAGAGGGCCACAGACAGGACAGCTGCTGCTGACCGGGGGAGGGCAGAGACAGAGCTGGCACAGTGGGGAAGGCAGCCCGCCTTGGCCGCCAGGAAGGCTCAGCCCTGCGTCCCCCACTTTCCCAGCCAGCACCACTCTTCATGACCCCCGGCCACCTTCTGGACAAGTTCATCAAGGACTTTCTGCAGCCCAACAAAGACTTCCTGGATCAGCTCCACAGAGCCGTGGACGACATCTGCACATTCCTTAAAGAAGATTGCTTCCGACACTCGACCACCAAGGTCCAGAAGGTCATCAAGGTGAGTGCAGGCCTTCTCTCCAGGTTTGCTGCGGGCAGGGGAAGAAGTGGGACGGGGCATCACTGTGGCTTTCCAGGGCTCAACCTGCATCAGAAATCTGAGACTAGAGAACTGGGACTAGGATGCTAGTCTTGGGGGGGGGGGTGGCATTGACAGACTGTCACTGTCATTAACGGCTCGTGTTTCACCCTGTTTCCAAGGGTTGCTGGCCATCCTTGGTACTCTTGGGCTTGTAGGTGCATCGGTCCCATCTCTACCTCTGTCTTCGTATCCCCTCTCTGACATGTGTCGTCTTCTTTTCCCTTCCAAGGACACTTTCCATTGGGTTTAGAATTCAGAATGATCTCATCTCAAGATCTTTAATTTAATTACATCTTCAGAGACTCTTTTCCCCAATAAGGTCATGTATCAGTCAGCTCTCCAGTACTGTACCAAAATGCCTGAGACAAATGAACTGATAAAGAGAAAAGGTTTGTATTGATTGATTGGCCCCATTACCAGTGGTGAGGCAGAACATATGGTGGACCAAGCCACTCAGCTCATGTCTGGGAATCAAAATACAGAGAGATAGGAGGGGGCGGCATTTCCATAATCCCCCCTGGGGAATGCGCTCCATGACCTAAGACTCCTGTAGCCACAGCTCTTAAATTTCACCAGAAATTGAATGGAGGAGGAGAAGGAGGAGATTAAGAAGTTAAACCTGTGTAGCAGAGAACTAAGCACCTCCAAAGCCTAAAATACTACCGTCTATCCTTTGATGGATTGTTTACTGACCCCTGCACCTTAGTTATGAATATTCATCCCGAGGTCCCCAGACTGCAGGAGACTGGCCCCTCAGAGAACAAATGAGAACTTACAATGTAGCAATCACCCTGAGTTTGACTTATTTGAGGAAAATAAGTGAAAGCTGAGGATTCTTTAGGAAATTGAGAAGTGGAGGATCCATTGTTATTGTCCCCCGGTGGGATCAGGGCACCCGATCCTAACGCTCTGCTCTGCTGTGGACTCCGCCCTCACTGGACCCTCGTTGGAAGCTGCCCTTAATGACCTCATGAATTAGCCCCAAGTGGTGCCAGACCGTGGTGGCGAGGGCCTCAAGGGCCAGGAGAGCCTGGGTCTCACGCCCCCTCTGTCCCCCAGGGAGGGTCAGCCACCAAAGGCACGACCCTGAAGATCGGTTCCGACGCCGACCTGGTGGTGTTCCCCAGCACACTTCAGAGCTACACCTCCCAGAGAAACGAGCGGGGCAGGGTTGTCCAGGAGATCCGCAGGCAGCTGGAAGTCTGGCAGCAGAAGACGCAGTTCGAAGTGACGTTCGAGATGTCCAAGTGGAAGGCCCCCAGGGTGCTGAGCTTCTCTCTGAAATCCAAAAATGTCAACGAAAGTGTCGACTTTGACGTGTTGCCCGCCTTTAACGCACTAGGTGAGCATCCCCAGAGCCCAGCTCTGGAGGAGGAAGATTCTAGATGCTGGAAGTGGCGGGTGGTCAGGGATGGAGAGAACCAGCAAGTACAGAAGCAAAGTGCAGAAGAGGGACCAGCAAACTTTTTTTTTAATCTAAAAGTCAAGATAGCAATTATTTATATTTTGAGGACTACGGGGTATCTCCCTGCACTCAACTCGGCCTTTATAATATGAAAACGGCCATAAGCAACATATCGACAAATACTGTAGCCTTGTTCCAATAAAACTTTATTTACAAAACAAGCAGGGGGCCAGGTTTACCCCAGGGACCAAGGTTTGTGGATTCCAGAGCTGCACTGTTCAAAGCTCATTCTTCAATAATGGAAGTTGTCTCCAGCTGTGTTCTAGATCGACCAAGAACTTGAAGTAATCTCAGAAAACATCTCATTCCTCTGAAGAGGCTGCCTGTGCCTTAGACACCAAGATGCAAATACTCTGGGACAGTTCATCCTCATTTCCTGGGACTGTATGTCACAAAATGTTTTAAATTCTTTTATCCAGGTCAACTGCATTCCGGCTCCACACCCGGACCCCAGGTCTACGCGGGGCTCATCGATCTGTACAGATCCTCTGACCTCCCGGCGGGAGAGTTTTCTACCTGTTTTACCGAACTGCAGCGCAATTTCATCGTCTCCCGGCCCACCAAGCTGAAGAACTTGATCCGCCTGATGAAGCACTGGTACAAACAGGTATGCTGGCCCCGGCTGACCGCCTGGCCATGACCTTTACCAGTGAGATGTGTCCAGGAAGCCAGCCCCTGCCCCTTTCTCCCACACTGGGGACTGGGCCGCTCCAGAGAACCCGCCCGTGGCTGAGCCGGGTGTCTGTAACGTTCCTGTCACTAACTTTATTTACTTGGGCCAGGTATGCCCTGCCTCCTGCCATCAATTAGCCAAAGAATTCAGCAGGAATCCAAGCCACCAAGGGAGGATGGGAGTTAGGAGTGACAGGCCCGCGGGTTGGCAGGTGCCAGGGTGGCTTCTCTGCTGGTCGGTTTCCACAGGGGGTAGACACGGGCACCTCCTGGCAGGCAGCCCACAGCCACAGGGGAGGAGGCTGCTGCGCTTTCTGTCCCGGGCAGCCCCTCTGTGCTCGATTTCACGGTCCCGCACACAAGGTCCTTTCCGAGTGTTTTCATGATGGCAAACGTCCAACGCACGACCCCAGCTCTTGCTGCTGTGGCCCCTACGGCCTGAACACTGGGCTCTGCGGTCTTTGTCCTGGACAATCAAAGGTGGCGGGTGTGGCCGTTCAGGGGGCTCTGGTGTGACCTGGAGCAGTGTCCTTCCCCTTGACCCCGCCTTCTGATTTCATCTGAAGTGGACATCATGGTGCCCAGCTTTGGTGGGATTGGGGATGGTGCGAGTAACATGCCCCAGCCCCTGGTTAGCCCCTGGTGGGGTTCTGGCCACGGCTGTGTGACTGTCCCAAGAGCCCCAGCTGCTGGACAGTATTTAGACCTCCACGGGGCAGAGCACCTGCCTCCAGCGTCACGGTGACTCTATCGCTCCGCCGTGGCCCAGCCGTCCATGGGACCCTCGGAGAGCTCCTGGGGCGCCTGTTCTTACCAAGGTCATCTGATGTCCCCCCGTCCCTCAGTGTGAAAGAAAACTGAAATCCAAGGGGTCTCTGCCCCCGAAGTACGCCCTGGAGCTGCTCACCATCTACGCCTGGGAGCAGGGCTGCGGGTCGGAGAGTTTCCACACTGCTGAAGGCTTCCGGACAGTCCTGGATCTGGTCACAAAGTACCAGCAGCTCTGCATCTTTTGGAATGTCAACTACAACTTCGAGGACGAGACGATGCGCACGTTCCTTCTGACCCAGATCCAGAAAACCAGGTGCCCCTCTATTCTTGATTGACCGGTTCCCTCCAATGCTCTTGCATCCTCTTCCTCCCCCTGGACCCTGAGTCTTTCCACATGTGACCCTGAGCAGCGAGGTGCTGACAACACGGCCAGTCCCCAGGGATAAAGTCCTAGGGGCGGAAGGAAGTGCTGCCCAGGAGGAAGAGGGGCAGGGCTCTTGTCCACCTGGGTTTGTCAGCAGGTCTGAGAGGATGGCGTTGGAAGAGTGTCCCCAGAAAGAACGCTGTCCCCCACAGGTCAATTTGTTATTGGGGGCTTGTACTAGGTCAGGTTTAATCTGCCCTTTCCGACCTTCCAGAATAGACCAGGAATCTCAGCACGTGTCTTCAGCAGCAGGGACAGAACACCAGAGGCAGGAGGAACAGGATGAGAAAAGAGAGAACAGAGGAAAGGGGAAGCTGGGTGGGCTGGGGGGCGGGGGACCTGCTCCACAACATTGTGTTTGGTTAAAAGAGGACTCGGCCTCGAGGGGACAGTGACATAGAGTGGTACTGTGCTCTCTGTGTAGAGTAACAGCTTCCAAAACATCTAGCAGATCCTGTGATTTGTGCCTGTGATCCCAGCTGCTAGGGAGGCTGAGGCAGGAGGATCTCAAGTTCCAAGCCGGCCTCAGCAATTTAGAGAGGCCCTAAGCAACTCAGTGAGACCCTGTCTCTAAATAAAAAACAAAATAGGGCTGGGGATGGGGCTCAGGGTTCGAGTGCCCCTGGGTTCCATCCCTGGTACCAAAAAAAAAAATTGCTGTAAGTAGGACGGGGCCTCAAATTCTGAAGCCACCAGTTTGGAAAGAAATCCTCTAAGAATTAACCAGTTTCTCACACCTTCTCACCCTCCTACAGGCCTGTGATCTTGGACCCAGCAGACCCCACGGGTGACGTGGGAGGTGGGGACCGCTGGTGCTGGCATCTCCTGGCCAAAGAAGCCAGGCAGTGGCTGTCGTCTCTCTGCATGAGAGATGGGGCCGGAAACCCCGTGCAGCTGTGGAATGTGCCAGTAAGGGTGATCTGAAGGAAGTGGCCCCCCCTCCGGGATGGTCCTGTGTCAGGCTCGAGTCAAGGAACTTCTCTGGGAGCTAAAGCAGCCATGTCCCCTTCCCCACCCCGTCACCAGTAACCGCTGCACATCTCGGCAAGCAAGAGGCCACCAGGGCTCCAGAACAGCTCGGGAGCCCTTCCCTGTGCGGTTCCCTCCGCCTCAGCACCTCTGACGTCAGGGCTGGGGTGCCCTCTGCTAGTGGGGTGGAGGGGCCGGATCAGGAGTCTGAGCAGCACCCTGGTCTCTACCCAGCAGGTGCCAGAAGCACCCACCTCCCTAGCCAACCAGGTCTGCAGTCATGGTCACATGTCCCCCACGGGAGCGCAGCTCTCTGTGGCTTCTGGCTCCACCCCGTTTAGTGGGTTTCTGGAGTCGTGGCCCCGCGCGTCCATAGACAGCAGGTCCCCCTACTAGGAGGGAAGAACTAAAAAGGAAAGGATAACCAGGGGTGGTGAGCACTGGGATTTGGCTGGGGACAGTGGCACACACCTGTGATCCCAGCCACTCGGGAGCCTGAGGCAGGAGGATCACAATGGTCTCGTGGCTACAGAGAACCAGGGTGAAGATGACCGTGGCTGTGGGTTGGGTCGGTCACCCAAGAGTGGGGGTCTCCTGCCACCCCGATCTACCCTCGGGCCCTCCCACCTGCACCCTCGGCTGCCCTCCCCAGCCCCCGTCTCTACAGCAGGGCTTCTCCGCCTGGGCCCTGGGGTAGGGGAATCTCATTTCGGGGGCTAAGCAGCACCCCAGCTCTCTACCCAGATGCTACCACCCAGGTGGAATAAGACATTGTCACCTGTCCTCCAGGGAGGGAATTTTTCCCTGGGAGAACCCCTGCTTTAGAGCAATCCCCCTGCTTCCCCTTGTTACCAGAACCGATAGCACCAAAAGAGTGTCTCCGGCCACAGTCTCGTCCCCAGATACGGTCCCCAAGCCTCTCCTTCGGCTCCTTAGCAGGGGTCGTCGCTGCACAGGACCCTCATCTCTGCTGTCCACTCCCGCAGACAGTGCAGACGCCGGGCAGTTGCGGAGCTGGGCTCTACCCTGCTGTCTGGGTCAGAAGCCGCTCCATCCTGAGGTGACGCGCTAGAAGACCTTCTAAGGCCATCTGGAAATTGCTCTGGAAGAATCCGGTCCCCCAGGCTCGCTCCACCCTACTGGGCCCCGCCTCTCCTGCCCGGTGTCTTGGACCCCCTGAAAACAAGGCTGCAGAGCCCTTTCCCGACTCCCACCCGGTTGGACCCCATGAGGCCGGTGACCACCTTGAAAAGCCTCGGCCCCCAGCCGCCCTCTCTACACCCCTCAAGGACCCTCGCTGCACCCCCAGAGTCAGGCTCTTCTCCTGGCCCTTGGTCCCTTCACTCTGAGCTGTTCTCACAACCTCCCAGCTCAGCCACCATCTGTCTGTCCCCTTCCCTCCACGCACAGACCCTCCCTGCCCCACGGCTGTGGTGTCCCCCAGCCGGCTGCCCGCCAGCCCTGTCCTGCCATGGTCAGCTCCCCAGGGCTGTTCCTCCCCCCACCTACTGCCTGTCTTCCCACCCGCCCAGGAGACAACAAAGCATCCAGCCGGCCTTTGTGCCCAGGGACTGGCATAGAACTTCAAAACCAAAGAATTTCCTGACAAAAGTGTCTTTTGCATTCATAACAAACCCCCTCCACCATCCCTGAATTTCAGCTAAGAAGGTGACTCCCAGCTGGTGCAGTGGCGCACACCTGTGACCCCAGTGACTTGGGAGGCTGAGGCAGGAGGATCGAAATTCAAGGCCAGCCTTAGCAACTTAGTGAGGTCCTTTCTCAAAATAAAAAGGGCTGGGGGTGTAACTCAGTGATGGAGCATCCCCAGGTTCAATTCCCAGTACTGCAAGAAGAAAGGAGGAGGAAGAGCCTCAGAGACCCCAGGGGCACTTAGAGCATGTGGAGGGGGGCTTCCCGAGCCAGAAAGACCTCCCTCGTAATTAAAGGGCTAGAGCTTTCCACACCCCCGATCTTCAGGAAGCAGAGGGAACTAGAGATTGAGCTCAGTTGTGCGGTCAGTGATCTAACCAATCTTGCCCAAATAATGGGGTCCAATATGAACTTCTGGGTCATGAGGCTTTGGAGCTTCCTGGTGGGCAAACACTACAGTGTCTCAGGAGGGTCGCATGTCCCAACACCAGGGGGACAGAGCTCCTGACCTCAGCGTGCTCCTGGATTGGCTGTACCCTGTCTCTCTCTATCTGGTTGTTCACTCATGTTCTTTATCATAAAGTGGTGATTGCAAGCAAAGTGTTCTCCTGAGTCCTGCGAGTCATTCTAGTGACCTATGAGACCTAAGAGGGTCAAAGCCCCAAGTTTGTAGCCAAGTCGGGCAGAGGTATGGGCAGCCCAGGGAGCCCATGCAGGGCTGCTGTCTGAAGTCAGGCTGGATGTGCTGGAGACCTTGCTTTTACCCCGCGGGCGCTGCACCCACTCCAGGCAGCTAGAGTCTGAACTGAATTGAATTGCAAGATGGTCCGTGGGTGTCAGAGGATCGGCACTGAATGCACCACTTTCATGCCAATGCCTTTGCTGCCTTCAGTAGAGGGTTGAATTCATTAGGAGCCAGGCTAGACGTCACAGCGACCGGCAAACATGCAGTCCGTGGTCCTTACGGGACACAACGAGGGCACCGACCCTTTTGCAGAAAAAAAATCAGTAGCTGATGTCAACAAATGGCCTCTCTTGTAGGATCTGTATTTCGGGATAAACAAGAAAACATATTGATGAGGAAATTGTATTCTTTTACCCAGAAGAATTCTCTTTCGCATCTGCAGAGAGGATGCAAAATCAGAAACACTGTCCTCGGATGAGACGCTCAGGCAGAGCCCCAAGGCACGACACAAGATGCTATGGGAACATGCAATGGGAGTGTCACCTCCCAGGTCCACAGTGCAGTCACAGCACCAGTGGGAGGAGAGGGGGAGGCAGGGTGGAGATCAGCGGCAGAGCACGAGATCAGGGTGCCCAGGCCTGGGGGTGCGTCCCCAGAAGCATCAACAACCCAGCCAGGAGTCAGCGTAGTGCCTCCAGGCGGAGGCACAGCACTGTCCCATGAATGTTCTTGCCAACTTGATTTTTTTTTTTTTTAATTCGGCACCATCATGGGCTCCGGGACACAGAAAGAACTGACTTAACAGATCCCAGAGAAGATGCACGGGCCAGAGAGACTTCATAGAAAGAGACGAAGAAAACAGGGAGAAGCCCAGACAGAAACATGGAAGGGTAGGCATGCTCCCAACCCCAGGGTACACGAGCCAGGATTGTCACAGGAATCCAATGAAGGACACCTAAAGGTCAAGGTCCAAGGCCAGGATTCATGCCTGGCTACCCTAGCAGCCCGGTCCCCAATGGTATCAGAGAAAGTAAGCAGGGATGAGAAGCACAGCCCTTGGGGCAAGAGGAATTTGGAAGAGTTTGAACAGTAGACCAAGAATGAGCTCACCAATGGGGACAATTTGTGGTTAAAAGGACCACCGGGAGCCAGGTGGTACATGCCTGTAATCCCAGTGACTCTGGAGGCTGAGGCAGGAGGAGCACAAGTTAGAGGCCAGCCTCAACAACTCAGTCTCAAAATAAAAAGGACTGGAGTTGTAGCTCAGTAGTCAAGCGTCCGCAGCTTCCAATCCTCAGAAACAAAAGGAGAAAAGAATCATCAGGAGCCTGAATAGCGAGGGCTTTGGTGCTTTTCCACTGAGGGTGGTTCACACCTGGGCGGGAAAGGCCTTACCATTCATCCGTCCGTCATTCATGGGCATCAGAGTCCAGGAGAGCCCTGGACAGGGAGAGGCACAGGAAGCTCTTCCCTGGCACCGCCCTGTGTGAGTTGGGCCAGGTCCCCTGGAATGGGTGTAGACCTCGAAGGAGGAATCCCGCTTGGATGAGAGCGTGAGCAGCCCGGCGGCTCCACCCAGCTGGGACGGTGACCAGAGCCCTGGTGTGGCACTTCCCTGGGCTGTGGGGCTGGGCTGCAAGGCACCCAGGGAATGTCCCCTGTTCCCAAAGGGGCCAGAACGTGGGGTCGCCCTCGCAGGGCGGGGAGTTAACACCAGAAGAGGACAAAGGCTCAGCTGTGCAGGGTTCCAGCAAGGAGAGGAGGACGCGGTCAGCACAGAGGGTCCCTCTCCAGCCCTCAGGAAAAACCCTGACCGGGAGGGACGGTCCCCAAGGTGGAGAGCAAGGTCCACAGGCTTTTTGAAGGCTGTGGCCAGAGTGATGTCAGAATCATGGAGGACGCGGAGGCCAGCTGGGACCACCTGAGCTGGGCCGAGAAAATACTGCTAAATCCCCAGGAAGCCCGGGTAAGCACGGAGTCAGGCCGAGTGACACCCCCACAAACATGTCCACAGCCTCGCCCCTGGGGCCGTAAGCACGCCACCCCACGCGGCCAGAGGGCTTTGCAGATGCCATTAACCCCGTGGACCTTGAGATGGGGAGCTGGTCTGGGCTTATCCAGGTGGGCCTCGTCCAAACACATGAGCCCTGAAAACAGGGGCTCTTTCCCAGTCAGAGTGAGAGAGGATCACCGAAGAAGAGACAGGAGATCCTAGTCACCCCTGCTGCTGGGAGAGGAAGGAGACGGCAAATCTGGGAATGAGGGAAAGGCAAGAGAGCAGAGACCCTCTTCTGGGACTTCCAGAGAGGAACGCAGCCCCCCAGCTCCTTGATTTGAGCCCACTGAGACACATTTCAGACTCCTTGCCTTCAGGCTCTGAGATAACGAATATGTGCCTTTTAATTGTTATTGCAACAACAGGAAACTATGCAAGAAACAAAATATCACCCATTTCTTTCTGAGACTGCTGAACTCATGTAGGACTCTCACCTGGCTGAGCCTAAGAAGCTTAAAAGCCACGTGTTTCTTATCATTTCCAGAACAATCCATCATTCCGAAGTACAGACACCAAAAAAATGCAATGATCATGAAAGAATTGAACTGAAGTGTCCCTGTTTATCAGTGTTTAAAATGTTGTTTTGTTTTGGTTTTGGTATTAGGGATTGAACCCAGGGGCACTCAACCACTGAGCCACATCCCCAGCTCTTTTTTATATTTTATTCAGAGACAGGGTCTCCCTGAGTTGCTTAGGGTCTCACTAAATTGCTGAGGCTGGCTTTGAACTTGAGATCCTCCTGCCTCAGCCTCCCGAGTTGCTGGGATGACAGGCGTGCGCCACCACACCTAGTTATGTGTTTTAACTTTCTAACTTTTAATTTCCCATGACCACAGGCTAAGCAACATATTTATTCTGGTTTTTTTCCCCCCAAGGCTAGAAGTTTTTTAGAAATATTTCTTCCCCTCGGAAGCCAACTGAGAATCTCCATTTGAGGCGGGGTTTCCATTCCAAGGGAAGACTCCACAGCACTCCTTCTCTGCTAATTGGAGCTCTTTTTTATTTTTTAAGTATACATTCAAAAGAGGGAAGAAAATGGGAGTCATCTATAAAAGTGCACCCCTCCCACACACATCCAGAGAGAGGAAAATAGATGACTAAAAACTCAAAGTCAGAAGGAAGCCCAGAGAACTTATTTCAAGGAAACACTTAACCTGTGTTTTAGACCAGAAACCGGGCAGCATCTCCGCCTTCTCCCCACCCCGTTTCCTCTTCCTGGGCAGACAGGAAGTCAGCCATGTCTCCTCAGCCTGCCTTCCAGTCACCTGGTGGATCATGTGGTCCTGGGACAAGGGTCCCAAGAGGCCCTGCCAAAGAGCAGACTGAGACGTCACCTCCGCCCATGAGGGTTCTTCACTTCTGATAGTGAAAAGAATTTCCAGATGCGTCAAAAATAAGGCACAAGCAATAGCCAGACAGCCCAGAGGCGGACTAGGGGAGAAGACAAATGATAGGCCCAGGGTCAAGTTCACGACTTTCTATGTGATTTTCCTGGGAAGAAATGTGCGGGTCCTCAGGCAAGCCTCTTGGGAAATCAAGTCTCCTGACAATCCTTGGGAATGCTCCCCTTGGGTCGACCATCCTACCCATAAATCATTAGTGGACACATTGGGTGAGCCTTGGAATACGGTGATGTTTAAATTAATTATGGTTTTTGTTCCAGTTGATCTGGTGCCAGCACACTGTGGGGTTTCTTCATTCCATCTAAAGGAACAAGCGAGATGGGTTACTCGTGCCTGTAGATCTGGCCTTCTTTCTCCGGGAGCCCACCCATCTCAGTGCGACTGGTTCTAACCAATGAACTGTGAGCAGAACTGGCCTTGGACTTGCAGGCTGAGCAGATACGGGCTGGCCTGTCTCCCCACCATCTTCTCTGCCACAGAGACCTGCCACTCATGGGTTCCAAAAAGGGAGAGGTTCGTCCTGACCTGAGCCCTATTGGCCTAAGTGAGAAGCGGCCCTTTTGTGGAGTGAAGCCCCTGACGTCTTGCGGGTCGGGGGTTCCTTTCTGAAGCCTCATCTGGACCGTCCTCAGGAACACTGGGGCTAATTTTCGTTTCTCTCTTCCGATTCCCCAGGGATGGAAATTCATCCTGAGGAAGGCCAAAAATCAGTTGTAAGAAAAAAAACAAGCCACATATTTTTCTGCACATCTGAGTGTAGGATGAGAAAATCTGTTCTCCTGCTGAAGATGCACCAGCTCTCTCTCGCTTGCTCACTCCTGACACACTCTGAATTGTCCAGGCAGAAGGAAGCTGAGACCCAGAGAGAGGGGACTCTGGCAAAGTCACAAGTCCATCAGGTCCAGAGCCAGGATTGAACCCAAGTCTCTGGCTGCAGAAGGCAGGATAGTGGCCCCCTAAGGTGTCCCTGCTCGACATGTGTCACTTTATATGGCACAAGGTTCTAGAGATCCAAAGTCCAAAAACAGTGTCCAGGCTAAAGTCAAGGTGTGGGGGGGCTGGCTCCTTCTGGGGACAGTCCCAGAAGCTGCCCAGCCCCTGGCATCCCTCCACCTCTTTGGTTCCATCAACTAGGGATGCGTTTCTCCTGCCTCCATCTCAGGAGGGCTGCTGGGATGACCTCAGCCCCACCAAAGCTTGTCACCTCAAACCCTTTAGACCAGACCCACCCCCACTGTCCCAGGTTCCAGTGATCAGGACATGGACATCTTGGTGAAGGGTGGGGACTGTTACTCAGTTCACCACGGGGTGGGGCACTGGCAGATGGTTGGCATTCATCCCTGGCACTGGAGGGAGAACCCAGAATGTGGATGTAAACAGACGTGCAGGACCAATGACTGAGCCTGATCTCGTCCATCCTTGCTGGCTCCTGACCTGCACCCGGCTCTCTCCGAAGACCTCCAAGCACCAAGAGCTTCCTGCTTCTCTCTACTCTTATTCCTCCCGAGCCACGCGGTCTGTAGGTCCTGAAGAGGGAGGCGAGAAGCAGGGCAGTCAGGTTCAGACCTGCCCATTCCACAGTCCCAGTGCCAAGCACCCTGAAGCCACTGTACTCCCAACGCCCCAGAGATGTGGGGCTCTGGGGGCACAGCTGACACCCACATCCCCATCCTTGTCCCTGGAACAGGAATAGTCACTCCCAGTTGCAGCGCGTAGCTTCCTGGTGAATTAGGAGAGAGGACATGTCTTCATCTCTGCTTTGTCAAAATACCGACAGGAAATGAGCAAAGAAAAGTCCATTGTCCCTCCTGCTCTGCCCTCCCCACACTGGGCGGCTTTCCTCTTGCAAACTGGAGACTCGAATCTGAAAAAGAGACAGAAGGACACCACTCAACTCCTACCGATTCATGTCAGTCTCTAAATGCTGATGCCCCACGCTCCTGACACTCTCCTGTGGATGGCAGCTGGCAGAGCAGAGGGACCGCATGCTTGCAGCCTACCCCCAGGCCGCGATGCCCAGAGGCACCTGAAATTCCAGCCCCAAGTACTAATCTCTTGTGGGACTGTAACACATGACCACAGACTTAATAGGTTAACAACAAAAAAAATACCCTATTATAGTCCTGGAGGTCAGAAATCTAAACCCGGCCTCACTGGTCTACAAGCAAGGCTCACCAGACCTGGACCTTCTGGAAGCTGCAAAAAGAGAATCCATCCCACGCCTCCTCTGGCTTCTGGCAGCTGCCTGCCTTCCGTGGCTACCGGTTCCCTTGCTCTGCTCTGCCTCCCAAGGCCCTTTACCTTCTCCTCCCAGAGCTCCGATCTGCGCCCCAGCGTCCCTGGGTAAGACCCGTTCCTGAGGCTCATGCCCGGGGGGACACATAACCCACCCAAGAGTCATTCTGCCCTCCTCCTGGACCTTCTTCATAATAGCCCAGGAGCAGAAAGAAGCTGCAGGTCTCAGCAGCAGAAAGGGGACGAACCGTGGTGACACACACACACACACACACACACACACACACACACACACACACACGACAGGATGGCACCCGCCCAGCAGAAGGGACAGAGCTAGCGGTGCAGCAGCTGCTGCAGGGTGAAGCCGGGTTCCAGGGGGCGCCCGCGCGACTCCACATCTTGAGGTTTAAGAACAAGCAAGACGTGAGTCGAGGCAGAACTCGGTGATGGATGGACGGTCAAGGCTGGCCGTGGTCAGGGAGGGCGGCTAGAAAGGACACGCGGGAAGTTCCTGGGGGGTCGGAATGACCTCTTGATCGGGATGCTGGGGACGTGGGCGCGTTCATTCATCTAAGTTCATCCAAACACACTTAGGACTCGTCGTGTGGGATGCAGGTTGTACCTCGATGACGGTCATGTTTTCCACAAAGGACCACGTATCTGAGGGTGATCTCGTCATGATGCTGGAAACCCCTCGTTATCTAGTGACATCGCAGCTCTCACGATGTGCTAGTGCAGAGCTTTACACACGCACTCGTGGTGATGCTGGTGGGAACTGACCTCCCGCAAGGCCAGTCAGGCACCTACAATCACGAGTGGCACATGATAACTGATGGTGACGATAAATGGCCATGTCACTGGTTGAGTATCCCCTGACCCAGGCTCTGATCCTCATATGAGGACACGCTGCTGCTTATTAAAAAAAGGGACAGCAGGGGTGGAGCCCAGGGGCAGGGCCAGCGTCCAGCATGCATGAGGCCCTGGCTTCCCGCCCCCCAGCCCCAGCCCTGCAGGAAAAATGACCAAAGAGTCGGCCACGTCAGCCGGTCGCTGCCTGGGCCACCCGTGTCAGCCACATCCCTTGATCCCTCAAGAGACCAGTGTCCTCCGCCCTCTGGGGTTGAGTCAGTGCCCTCCAGGAGGTTCACACAGTTTTCAGAACAGATCGCCATTGTTAAGTGACACGTGGCTGTGCCTGCACCCTAAGAGGAGGTCATGAGAACGCAGCCCAGGGGAGGAGGGCACTGGGGGGCCACGTGGAGCAGAGTGAAGCAGGAGGAGCTGGGAGGCGCCCGTCTCTCATCACAGCGGGACCCCAGGGCCCGTCACCCAGCGAGGCTGGCCTGGGCCAAGGGGAGGAGACCGGGGCCGCGGGTTCAAACCCCCTGAGCCTGAAGCCAGATGTGCAAACCATACCTCTCCTCGATCTCCAAAAATCTGCCTGCCCAAGACAGTGAAAGGCTAGGTGTGGCGGTGTGTGTGTGTGTGTGTGCGCGTGTTTTCTCCTTAGGTACCAGGGATGCAGCCAGGCCCTTGCCCACACGAGGCGAGCACCCCAGCCCTGAGCTCCACCCCAGATCTTTATTTATGTATTTATTTAGGCCTGCCCAAGAACTGCGATTTCAGAATGTTTGAAAAAGCTTCAGTTAGAGCTCCGTGAGTTTTGAGTGACATTGTGGGTGATGTCAGCTAGGAAAGGGCAGAGGGTGGGGCGGCTGGAGAGGCAGCTCCAGGATTTTCACTTTGCGTCCTGGCTGGCTGCCGCCCGCCTAGGCCCCAGTGCACCTTCCAGAGGGGCCAGTCCGAGGGCCGAGCCTGTCTACACTGGCTGAGGAGAGAATCTGGTGTTTCCTGGGCTATGTCGGGTGCTGAGAGGGGAGAGATAAATGAATCAGGGAAAGGGAGAGACTCGGTGACCGTGAACCAGAAACCATAGCATGGATTTTTTTTAAAGGTATCCACAGGGCCAAGCTTTTGACATGTGACTCTGTCAGACAAACCGGTTCTTAGCTGTTTCCTCGAAGGGATGGGCCACACTATAGTCACCTCTCTGAGAAGCTGCTCACCATAGCAACAGCCACAGACTCATAAAGCAAAGCCCTGAGATTCGTGGAGACACGGAAACCGCCACAGCACAGGAGGGTTCAAGAGCCACCCTCAGGACAAGGAGGTCCAGGGAGCCAGAGAAAACGGACAAGTGAAAGACCTGCACACTGTGTCCACGGGGAACTGTAGAGAGGCAGGCCGGACTCTAGTCCAGACAGTGGACACACCTTTTCAAGAAAACCTGGAAAAATCACCAGAACTCATCAAAGGCGCCCCAACACACACACACACACACACACACACACACACACACACACACACAAATAACAAGGACATCCTCATGTCTTACTTCAGTAAAAGGAGAAAGTATTAAGAAATTTTATAAAAGGTATCTGCAGCTAGAAATGCTTAAACTTTTTATTAAACAACTCTCAGATAAAGGAGAAACCGTAAAATGAATCTGCAGAATTTCTAAAAAATAATAAAAATTCAAATACTGCCAATCTAGGGACACACTTATCGCAGTGATTAGAGGGAAATACCTAACCCTTCAACACTTTCATCCATAGAATAGAGGATGATAATCGATTAAGGAAAATTTCCCAGCTCAGAGTGCCAGGGAAAAGGACAAGGAATTCTAAAACAGAGGCTGAAGAAGGAAATAATGAAGTTAAAAGCAAACATTGATGAGGTAGAGAATAGAAAACAGTACATCTAATTTATAAATCAAAACCCTGCTTAAAAAAATCATCAAGTAGGCAGACATTGATGAGGTAGAGAGTAGAAAACAGTACATCTAATTTATAAATCAAAACCCTGCTTAAAAAAATCATCAAGTAGGCAGAACACCAGCTAAAGTAATAAGAAAAAAGAAGACACACACCAAGAAATGCAGAACAAGAAGGGACAAGAAAGAAATAACTATTGAGACAGAAGAAAGTTTTAATAGCTTAAGGGTTGAACTGCCAGGTCGGTGGCGCACAACTATAAGCCCAGCAACTCAGGAGGCTGAGGCAGGAGGATGGGAAGTTCAAGGCCAGCCTCAGTAACTTAGTGAGACCCTGTCTCAAAATGAAAAATAAAAAGGATTGGAGATGTGACTCAATGGTAAAGCGTCCCTGAGTTTAGTCCCTGGTATGAGAGAGAGAGAGAGAGAGAGAGAGAGAGAGAGAGAGAGAGAATAGCATCTCCAATATGACCTTGTCTTAATCAATTACATCTGCAGCAACTCCATTTCCAAATAAGACCACATTCTGAAGGCCTGGGGGTCAGGCCTCCAGCATATGGATGCGGGGGTACAGTCCATCTCCACCCCAAGCCATCAGATACCCAGTCTATTGGAGGAAGAAAAAAATAATGGAAAGAAATTATCTCCATTTGTAAGCAATGTGATCGTGTATCTGTAAAACAAAATCATCAGCAATAAAACTGAAACAATAAAATGCTTTGATGAAATAGCAAGATATAGAAATAACATGGTGGAAGCCAATTGCCTTCACGTGCACAAATAACCAGTGAGAAGATAGAAAGGTAGGGAAACCCACTTATGATAGTAACTAAGCTGAAATACTTGGGGATCCATGTAACAAAAAAGTTGTAAAACCTACAGGAGGAACACTTCTAGAACATTCCTGAAAGCACAAGCACAGTTGAAGGTACAGGAAGACACGCTTGGATCTTGTATGGGGCAACCCAGCACCATAGCAACGTCTCTTTTCCCTTGAACAAGGTATAAATTTAAAGCAATCCGAGTTTAAAAAAAAAAATGGCAACATGCCCCGTAGACAAGCTATACTAAATTTTGTGTAGAAAAATAAACTTTCAAGAATAAGCAGGAAAACAGTAAAAACAACAACAAAAAAACCTATAAATTAAAATAGTGCACTACTGGTACTCAAAGAGATAGGAAGACCGGTGGGATCGAAATCCCAGGGACAGACAGAGCACCCATGGGACTTTATCAATGATAACTTCAGAAATCAGAAAATTATTAAGAATGATGGGCTCTGAGGAACTGTTTTTAGATCGTTGGCGACACATTAGAAGAAGAGAAAGCTAGATGCCTGTCTTGCTCACCTAACAATCAACTCCCACTGCATCCCAAAATAAGTGCAAGAAATGAAACCGTAAAGTACCAAAAAAAACAGGTGGATTCCTTTCCTAACGTGGAAGTCGAGAAAGACTTTCTAACTGTGACTCACAATCCAGATGCAAGAAAAGTAAGCACTGAGAAATTGACTGCACAGAAATCCAAACGCTTCCGTGTCAAAAAAAAAAAAAAAGTCCACAAACAAAAGACGGTTTGCAAATGGAAAGAAAATGTTTGCAGTAGAGATCACAGGTAAAGGGTTAATATTCCTAGTGTGTGTATTTGTAAGAGCTCTTAAAAACCAGGAGAAATCAGCGACTTGGGAGGCTGAGGCAGGAGGATCATAAGTTCGAAGCCAGTTTCAGCAACTTAGCAAGGCCCTAAGCAATTGAGTGAGACTCTGTCTCAAAGTTAAAAAATGAAAAGGGCTGGGGACTGTAGCTCTGTGGTAGAGCACCATGGGTTCAATCCCAGAGAGAGAGAATGCAAAATATATGGACAGACAGCTTTATGTATTTTCCCAAAAAATGTATGTACGTATGTCTATATGTACGACATAATATCCTTTGTATATATGAAAAGATTTCTCATCAAGGGTGGAGCCCTCAGGAAAGGAGTTAGCGGCCCTCAGTGCACACCCTGTCTGTTTGTGTCTTGATCTTACACTGTGGGAGAGAAGGCAGCACAAGTTCCTAAAAAGAGTCAAAACGTGAATGCCTTTGAAATTTTGTCCCCTATTGCAAAATGTCCTCCTAAAGAGTTAAACCAGTCTTCATTCCCCCACCGTGTAGGAGAGGCCAGTGTATCACAATCCCGCCAAAGGCCCCAGAGGGCTGAGATTTCCACACACGAATGTGGGGGTGTAGGCATGCAGGCCCCAGAGCCCTGCCCGTCCAGCACAGGACAGCGTCCACACAGAACTCCCCCAACACACCGGGGCCTCCTGAATCAGAACCTGTGTTCTTATGAAAGACACAGATTTCTGGCCCCTGTCCCAGACTCACCTAACAGAAGCCCTGGGAGGAGAGTCCAGGAATCTTCATTTGAGCCGTTGTCCAAGGACGTTATTAAGTTTGGAGAACAGATGACAGTTGGCTCTTTATGGTAATGGAGGTTGGTCACTTCCAAAATGGCCCCATGAGCCGCCTCCTGGCCTTCACCTCCCCATCCTCTCTCCAGGTTGTGCCTGGTGACTTTGCTCCTGAAGAATAAACTAGGCAACTGGGATGGGGTGACCGTCCCCAGGGGAGGTCCTGAGAACTTGCCCACAGCCTTAGACCAGCATTCGGATGACGGCAGCCCCCACAGGTGGGGGCTGGAAGGGTCCTAGGGCAGGAATCCAGGGGGTGGTGCCCGATACCCAGTCTACAGAAACTTGCCTGTCAGCCAGCTTCTCAGTGCTGGACTAAAAGACCTGACCACAACGATTGTAGAGGAGGAAGCGTGGATTTGAGAGTTCATGGTTTCAGAGGTCTCAGTCCACGGAAGGCCGGCTCCATTCCTCGGGGCTCAAGGGGAGGCAGGACATCACCGCGGAAGAGTGTGGCAGAGGGAAGCCACTACATGGTGATCAGGAAGCAGAAAGGGTCTCCACGCTCCAGATACAAAATATACACCCCACAGCCACGCCCCCCATGAACCCCTTCCTCCAGCCTCAGCCCACCACTTCCAGGTGCCACTCCATCAATGCCATCAGGGACTAATCTGCTGAGTAGGTGAAGCCACGACCCAATCATTTCTCCTCCAGACCTTCTCTCAGTGTCTCACTCGTGAACTCTGGGGGGACACCTCACATCCAAACCAATAACACGGTGAGATCCTAAGTGTCACTTCAAGCTATACATTTGGGGATCATCTATCAGGCACGTGATTTCCCACGGCAGCCTAGAACAGCCCAGAGACGGACAGCCTGAGAGGCTCCAGGCCAGGGAACTAGTCCTGGGTTTCCAAGGGTTTGTTTGCAGGAGCTCAGCTTCCTAACTATCAACCAGTAGCTTGAATAAGACTCCAAAGTTCCTCCAGTCTATTACTGTATTTCAAATAGTGATTTATGGAGTCCCCACCCCTTCTTTTAATTTCCCCTTTTGCCCACATAGAACATAGGTGGTTTTTTTTGTTTTTTGTTTTTTCCAGAATCTCAAGAAAGACATGGAACAAATGGCTGGGAAACTGTGGGTGAGCTTCCAGAGCCACGTGATGTGAAGTAGGGGGATCAGCCGTCCACACGTGCTGAGATAAAATGGGACCAGGACTCTGAGGCAGCCCCCTGGAAGGGGTGATTGCAAGGTACACCCACAAAGACGTGCCCTAAACAAGGGCCCAACCTGGCCCATGTCCCAGGAGGCAAAAAGAAATGCTGAGAAGCCCCTGAAGGGCCACCGGGGCCACGTGAGTAAAGTGGACATTTCTGTGGTCTCCAAGTTCCAAGATCACCAAGTGCTGTGGGGGGAAGGAGTCAGGGATGTAGCTCAGAGCCGTGCGCTGAGCATGCACGAGGCCTGGGTTCCAAACCCACTATCATCATCATCATCATCATCATCATCATCATCATCATCATCATCTTAATAGGAGAAAAAATCCCGCAGAATAACCAAGGTGGACTTTTTTACCCTAAATCAATAGGAAGCTGGAAACAAACTAGATTTTTTAAAAGAGGAGGAAGACGGGCTTATCTAGCACACCTGGGCGTGTGCACCTCGAGGCGCCCCAGGATCCCGCCAATGCCCCTCTGTTCTCCCGGTGGCTGACAGAGCACCCTCTGACCTCTCATCCCCAATGTCCCTGTCTACAAAGCCGCGGCTTCCAGAAGGAGCGAAGAGTGACCACCACCCCATCCCATCCTCACTCCACGGTAAGCCGAGGCCCGGAGACGTGAAGTCATTGCCCAAGATCAAGGTCAACCAGCAAGGAGGTGGCGGGGCTGGGACTTGCACCGGGACTTCCCAGTCCAGCCACCTGGGCCTCACGTCTGACTCCATTCCCCTCCCCTCCGCAGCCCGGTGCGTCCTGGCACAGGGGACTTTGCTGGGTGGGGGTCACACACGCGCCAAGAGCCAGGCTCTGCCCGTGGAGCATTCCAGTGCGTCCTGTGTGGGGCGTCTCTAGTATCCGGGGGGGGGGTTCCCTCTGACGGGGTGAGGCAGCTGGAGACCACCTTCCAGGCCACCGCTGTCCATCCGCAGCCCCCGCCCGCCCGCGCTGCCGGTCCCTCCTGCTTCCCGCTTCCCGCTTCCCACTGTTGAAGGAAAGCGCTGGCTCTCGGCATCGCGAACGCTCTTCCTCCAGGCGTGCCCGTGTCACGGCTCCAGGGCCGCTGCGGGTGCAAGTCCAGGTCCCGCGCACACCCGCCCTCTGTCCTCCCGTCCCCGCCGCCGCCCGCTTCGCTGCTTTGCGAGCCCGACCCTGGCCGTCTGCGGCCCGCGCTTGCTGCCATCTCGTGGCCATGGAGGGAATTACAGGAGCGAGAGCAGGAAGCAGGGTCCTGGGAAGTGGTCAGCCGCGGGGAGGGAGGCCGGAGCTGTGATCCTGATCAACAACCTCCTGCTTCTGCGTACTGCACGCCTGCTCCTCACAGGGTGGAGAGGCACAGGGGACAACGGCTCAGAAACCACTTTCTTCTTCTTTGTCTTTTATTTTCCCCCTTTATTTTGGCTCCCACAGACTAGAGGCCGTGGACAGACGGCTGAGTTAACCCAGGTTTTTCTGAAGCCGTTCTGCGCTCTCTATTAGTTTCCAGGGACTTTCAATGTGACCACTAGGATTCCTGCCTTGGACTTCTGAAGACATTCCCGTTTTTAACAATTGCCTTCCAAGCCAGGTGCGCTGGCCCACGCCCGTCATCCCAGAGGCTCGGGAGGGAGGCTGGGGCAGGAGGATGGCAAGTTCAAAGCCAGCCTCAGCAACTTAGAAGGCCCTAAGCAACTCAGTGAGGCCCTGTCTTTAATATTTTTTTTTAAGGGCTAGGAATGTGGCTCCGTGGTTAACTGCCCCTGGGTTCAATCCCTGGTACAAAAAAGAAAAAAGAAAAAGACTGCCTTCCAAGACATAATCTAGAGGTCCTCCAAAAGAAATGGAATGTTGTTCCCCTGGTCGAGAAGCTTTAATACCACTGAGATAAAAATGCTACCCAAGCAAGCAACTCACAGATGCAGTGTATTCCTAACAAAATTCCAATGTATTTTTTACAGAGACGGAAGAACTCATCCTAAAATCCATATGGAATTCAGAGGAGCCAATACAATCTTTAAAAGAAGGAGAAGAAGGACAACTAAGTGGGGCAGCTCACATTTGATAATTTCAAGACTTAGTACAGAGCTAGGGGTGCTGTGTTAAGGTCTATAGACAAGTCAAAATAACACGTGGTATTTTGCCAGGGGAATGTTAGAGTTCTAAACAAGTCTGGATGGTGCCTGGCAAAATGCCAGAGGGAGTGGTTTGAGAAGTAACAAAAGCGAGCTATTAAGTGTGGAGATTCCTTATTGGTTGACTGATGTATCTAGTTTATGTTAATTAGACAAGCTGTGTGGAATGTATAAATAGCTCTGTTGTCCTACAATAAACGGCTCCTACTCCTGCTGTATCAATGTACAGAAGTTGTTAGTCGCCCACCCCCCCACCCCCACTATTTTGCCCAGCCAGCCGGGCTTCGGCAGTGCTGTTCTTACCTAGCACGAGTGAGGACCTGGGTTTGAGCCCCTACAAAGAAGGAAAAAAAAAAGGCTTGTCGGAGTTAGTATGACCAAAACAACATGGTAATGTGTTGCTTAGGGCCTCACCATTACTGAGGCTGGCTTTGAACTCATGATCCTCCTGCTTCAGCCTCCCAAACCCTGGGATTATAGGGGTGCACGACTGTGCTAGGCTATCTATTCTTATTTAAGTACCACCAGTAGACAAATGCAAATCTAAACCACCACAAGACAGCACTTCATACTCTTTAGGGTGGCCATCGTCTAAAAAAATGGAGATCACAACCGTCAGGGAGGACGTGAGGATACTGGAACTCCCGCACGTTGGCGGTGGAGGTTGAAAGTGGGACAGCCACCGTGGACCAGGTTGGCAGTTCCTCAAAGAGAGAAGCATAGAATTTCCACAGGACCATGTCATGCCCTAGGACCATGTCATTTGGGGAGATAGAGACCCCAAAAAATTGAAAACAAAGATTCAAACAGATTCTTGAACACGAGTGTTCACAGCAGCACCATTCAGAAGACCCCAAACATGGACACAGCCTAAGAGTTCATCACAGGTGGATGGATAAACAGAGGGCAGGTGTGTAGACAGTGGAGTATAACCATAAAGGAGCAAAGTTCTCCGACTCACACGCTAACAGGCCCAGGACTCCCGGCACTGGCCTCTCTTCTTGGAGGTGCTCAGTCGCTGGTGGCCGCTCTGACCCTTCCCCTTGGGCCACACCAGAGCCTGAGCAGCTCCCTGTCCCCCCAGCTGCTGGCTTTGCTCAGCTCTGTGGCACCGGGTGGTGGGATGGAGGGGAGGGACTCCCAGCCTTCTAAGCCACCGAGCCCCAGGGCCTATGTTGCCCCTGAACGGGGACAATTTGACTGAGAGCAGCTTTTTTGTTTTTGTTTCTAATGGTCGGTGGACCTTTTTACTTTATTTGTTTATTTATATGCGGTGCTGAGGATCCAGCCCAGGGCCTCCCACGTGCCAGGCGAGCGCTCTGCCACAGAGGGCCAGAGGGCAGGCAGTGTCCCTGGCCCGAGGTTTGCTTGTGAACTTTCTGCCTGGGCTGGGCCTGTCGGGGCAGTGTGCACAGGGGCAAGAGGAGAGACGGGGCAACTTTGGTCACTTGCTGAGGGGACAGAGGACACGGAGGCCACATGCCCAGCTGAGCCTCTTTTGCCGGGCCCTGGGTCGTGAGGTTGGGGTGCTTCCTGGCCAAGCCACACGGTGCCTCAGGTTCCCCCGGGGGTGGATGGAGCTGGACAAGGCATCGTTGTAGGAGCTGGTGAATGGAAAGCTCTAGACCACAGGGAGCACACCAGCGTTTCTGTCCCGTCCACCCAGGACCTGGGCCCTGCGAGTGGGGTTGAGCCTGCTGGCTTTCGGGTCTCATGTTTGTCCCCTGTCCCTGCTAAACGGCTGTCACAGCCACAGACTTGATGCTCTGTTCAAGGCCAAGTAAGAGAAACTTGGGGTGGGGCGGCCAAGCGGTCCCTTTCTTCGGGAAAGGCCCAGCAGATGTCCCACTGTGCAGCAGGGAGACCGCACAGAGCCAGGCCAGCTGGGCAGGGGACCGCTGGGTCTCAGGCTGAGCCCTGCGGGGAGAGAAGCCGGGGTGGGGGTCAGGGAGTGACCCGGCACCGTGGGACACCCCCTGCCTCTCCTTCCCGTGTCCTGCTGCCTGGACTCTCCTAGCTTCTCAGCTCCAGCTTAGCACCTGTGGCCCTCGGTCACCACCAGGGACGTCTCCTGGGTGTGCCCATGGGCAGCTGTGAGGAGCCCTGGCAGCTGTGACGTCCTGCAGTAGTGGCCTGGAGACTCTGAAGGCCTTTTGACCGGGTGTCCACCTTCCCCTACACTGGACCACACAGCTCGTCCTGCCCATGGCTCACGGGTGCTATGGCAACCGGTCCTCCGAGTCTAGGGGGTCCTCAGGGTTCCGTGTAGTTAGGATCTTTGGGAAGCAAAAGGTGTCCAGAGGCAACTCCTCCCAGCGGCTGACCACCGTGAGCCGAGCCCACGCAAACGTCCCTCCTGCCCCCCGAGATGTGTGCGCAGCCCCCGGGGGGTCTCCAAGCAAAGGGAACAATCTCAGAAAGAAGCACAGACTTGATCTAGTGTCGGTGAGAGCACGGGTGATCAACTGGAACATAATGTAAAACGTGTTAATTGGGACATAACATAGAATATGTTAAATGTCACCTCCGATGAGCTTGTTTCCAAGACGTCACCGCAACGCAGCTACTCCTGACATTTCCCTTCCTGCGGATTCAGCCACGTGTTCTTTTTCCTGTCTTATTTTTTGGTTTTATTGTGATAAAATATACACAAGACACGACGGGCCGCTCACACCGTCTTTCAGCATGGACTCAGCTGACCGCCTTCAAGGTGCTGTGGCGTCACCTGCTCCATGTGCAAAACTTTCCTGTCATCCCAGGCAAAAAAAAAAAAAAAACAACCCTGTACCCACTAAGCTCCGGGCGACCCGTGGGCTTGACATGGAAGGCTGGGGTGCGTCCCCTCCGGCCCTTCCCTCTGCAACAGGAGCCAGAGACCCTGCCCAGGCTCTGCGCCAGCCCAGGGAAAAGGGCAGGAGCGGCCACCTGTGCGTGCCCCACGCACCACGTTGGGATCAGCGCTTCCACATTTGAATCGATGGGCACGAGGGACACCAGCAATACCCAAGGTCCAGGTGACCTCAGAGACCCCTCAGCTGCGGGCCTGCAGACACGCCCCTCCCCCACACGCCAGCCCAGCTATGGGCATCTGTCAAAAGGTGGTTCCAGTCTAATCACCACGGTGACTCCAAACTAGCAACTAAAGAAAGCAATTTTTTTGTTATTTGTTTTTGTTTTGTTTTTATTCTTTATTATTTTGTTTTGTTTTTATTCTGCGGTGCAGGGGACTGAACCCAGGGCCCTGTGCCCTCCACCAGCTGAGCCGTATCTGCAGCCCCAGGGCAGTACTTTTGAGCACTCTCCAGCGAGTGTGATGTGACGTGAAGCGAGGTGACCTCTGCGGATGACCCTGTTGCAGACCCCACTCAGGCCACGGTGGATGTCACCTGGGCTCACGGCAGAAGGAAACCAACCGCGGTCCCATGAGAAGGTGGTAAGAATGAAGGGGTCATTTTTCCCAGCCTCGCTCTGTGGACCCCCCAACTCCAGCCTAGAGGTCTGCTGGGCTCCCCGAGTTCCCCACGCATCACCCAGTCCCGCCCCTCCCTGGCTCCGGGGGCTGCGTGTGTCCCCAGCAGCTCAGCTCCAGCCCTGGCCATCTCGGGAGAGAATCCCCTGTTCCGTCAGCCGACTGTCAAGCGGGGGCCTTGGACACGGAGCCCAGGGCTGAGGGACAGGGACGGGCCTGGAGGAAGATGGTGGAAGATGGTGGTTGACGGGGAGCGTTGGGCTCTTGGTCACGTTTTTAAAGCGAGCTGCCTGCCGTCCACAGGGCCTGTGGGGGGTCGGCTCCAGCAGCCACTCACAAAATCCTCTAATCCTCGTCCTCAGATGCGTGGGAGCAGCATCTCTGGGCACCGGGCTGATCCCCAGCCTGCACATCTGTGGCCTGGCATGCAGAGGGCCTTGCAGATGGAACCCGAGAGGGTCACCTGGGTTACCCAGGGGGACACAATGTCATGGCA